AGCGCTGCGGTGAACCTCTGACTGTTCTTCATATTTTATTTCTTTGTCCTGGTCTTCGGCAGCAGCATAAATTCTTTTTTCCTGATCTTTTCAAGTATCACATTCCATTCCACCCTGCCTTGCTGCTTGGTGAGCGGCCACTAATCTCATTCAAACGTCTTTTCGATTTCCTTGAAAATACCGGATTTTTAAACAAACTTTGGAACTATTCTGCTCCCCATAGTTTAATTCTGCTCACCCTTTTTTACTGACTCACCTTGTTTGGCGCAGTATGGCCATTGATGCTCTTGCGCTATTAAAACCGCAAACAACAATCCATATCTTCGCTGGAGCAACATGATGACGTCCCTTCTTTGGTATGGCTCGAAACATCCAAATATGACTCTGCTGCTTCAGGCTTTTGCTGAACAAATGAAAAGGCTCTCAGCAGATGGGATTACATGGAATGCAGGCGGTCGGGAGCTCCATTGAAAGGTAAACCTTAGCCACATTGTTTTGTATGAGTGATCTTTACTACCAACAGCTTTTACATTTTTATTATTTTCGAAAATATGTTTTGTAGACGCATGTATGATTCTTGCTCTTGTAACTGTTGTAGCTGGCATGTTTGCCTCCTTGCCATCATGTGGCTTGTTTAGCAGTAGGTACTGTAAACGACCATTTTCACAAGCTCAATGTTTTGGAAAACTCCCAAAGTGCTGATTGCAAGAATATTTTTCAGGCACAAATTTTCGCGTTTCGGAGCATTCACTACCATGTTGCGGTAGTAAATGCTACGAATTCACTACCACGACATGAATTACTGTAAACGAATTATATTTGCAAACTTAATATTTCGCGATTTAGGTCAAAGCTGAAGTTTTGCAATAATTCGCGGATTTCAATTTTCGCGACTCGGTAGGATCTTAATATACATTCCAACGTGTTTACGTGTTACCGGAACTGTTTGTGGGGCCTATTTTTCGCGAATTGTAGGCGATTCACGAAATTCTCAAAAATTAGGTTTTCGCGAAAATTAAGTTGTGTGCAGTATTTGAAGGACCAATTGTTTGTGAATATATTCAATGTGCTAAATAAGCGCTTTGAAACTAAAGGGGCGGTAAGATTTTAACGTTGATAGAATTTACAGGGTGTATTTTTATTTAATTTGGGCCAACTTGGCCCTAATTAGAGAAAACATGCCAACTTGAAGTATTCCTATTCTGCTGCATAATTGCAAAGAAAAAGTGCATTATTTCCCGACCTGGGGCCACATGTGGCAGTCACGGAATCGGCGGCGTGACATCATTCGATGTGGGCTTCTGTAAGTGAGCGAGTTAAGCAATTTTGTACTTATAAGGTTAAGTTTTAAAAATATTGTCGTTTAGGCGTGGGCAAATAAATGTCTCAAAAGCCTAACATTTGTGACTAAAGTTCATTAAATATATGTGGTGCCATATACCGAAGTAAACAAAACCATTCCCTCTTTGCCCTCCAAGTCAGTGGCCACCTGAATTTGTTCAGACAGAACCCAACCGGAAACCGGGTGCCACTCTGAATGGCATTGCATGCAAGTGTCTTTAAAGGCCCGTTCACACTCTTGCGACCGAGTACGACTGAGAGAGACGAGATCTCTTAAAACTTTTTAAATGCTTTTAGAATGAGGGAACACACTGACATTGTGGCGCCATCTATGCGGTGACCCTGGAACTACATTTCACAAGAGCAAAGGTTTTGCGGGATTTCCGAGGTCAAATGTGCGTAATACCCATAGAAAGGCTCGTTTATAACATTGACAAAAGTTTTTCGAGTCAAGAAAAAAAGGATAATGCGCGAGAAATTAAAAAAAAATATGCCGGACCGCCGAGTTTACACTGCTTCCCAATAGATGGCGCCAGTGTGTTCTCTGGTTTAAGAAGTTTTAAGGAACCCAGGTTTAAGAGGTCGCAAGAGTGTGAACGGGCCTTAAGATGGTGTTCAGTGAATGTTGAGTTGAGTGAAACGAGAAATCTCGATTTCTTTCATTTTTTTAAAATAACAACTAGGGCACGCATGGAAGAATGATTTTCTGTTCATTATAAACCTTTGTCCGGAAGTGCTCTTTTTAGCCTCGACCGCAAGGAGCAAAAGCGAACAATAATCTTGAACCCAGACGCTCACGGGGAGGGGGGGGGGGGGGGCTGCGTCGGCCTGCGCCGCCGCTTCCCGTTGAGGGCTTCTTCGCTGGTGTGCCGACTGCCGTATCGCCGACATCGGTCCTGTTTACCGCGGTATGTGAGTATAGTGTCCGTATTGTGAGAGCCGTGTGTCCATACGCCACTTTGCCGCTGTTGGTTTCCATCTAGCCGAGCCAGAAAACATCTCGCGACGAGTTGACCGCGCCGCGAGTGACGAAGAGGAAGGTAACATGGCGACGATTTGTGCGATTGCTTTGGTGGCTCCGGTGTTGAGTGTCTTCAACGTCCTCGTGAGAAGGTTCCCCTGCCCTTCGAAGTTATTGCAAGCACCACGAAATATGTGGAATCATCGTCTCAACTACAAATAAGCAGGCCTTCACGAGCAACAACGGTGCCGAGCAGGCGCTCGGCACCGTTGTGTCAGGCTCACGCAGCCAGCGGCACTGTTGTGTTGGTTGTGTCGTCAGATGTTCAACAACGCCGAGGTATTTTCATTTATCATTTGGAATGGCTTCAAGAGTGGGAAATTAATCTATTTCGCGGATTGTTAACGCCGAGGCGAGTGCCCTCCGTTGCAGTGCCGTCGTCGCGCAAAGTGCAGAAAAAACCGGGTGGCGATGGCGGCGGTGCTCTTTGATCTTGCGCCGTCGGGTTCATGAAGTCCGGAGTAAACGTACATACGTGCGTCTGCTGGATCGGTGTTTTGGACTTTCTCAAAACTCTTTCTCACGCGCATTTTCCTTGTGAAGCTTAGTAGCTCATTACACCTCATCGTCGACCGCGCTCATTTGACTACGACGGACGAGCCTGCGTGATGTGAATTTCACTGCCTAAGATCCTTGGTGTGCTGTAACGAGGGCTAATAAAATATCACCGCGAACTTCTGAACACACGAGTCGAAGTTTCGTCTGCTATCATAACTGATCGCCTTTCACAATATTAATCAGTAGCGTTCCTAGACTCTGCCCCCACAGGCACCGTGCTTCGTTGCCCGATAGTGTCTCCTGGTACCTCGTAGAATTCCAGCTCCCACTTCAAGTAAGTACCATCCTTTAGAACTGGCAATTAATAGTTTCGAACCCAGACGCTCGCAGTGTGTGTTTGTGTGTGTGTGTGTGTGTGTGTGTGTGTGTGTGTGTGTGTGTGTGTGTGGGGGGGGGGACGCATTCTAACATACTCGGAGCCCTCGTTTACGCCGCTTCGCAGCGGCAGACAAGGCGCCACATTACAAAAGAAAGCTAATCCGAGCTGTCTATGTAACTAGACCCATTCGCTAGTCCTTCGATGAAACGTCGTGGTCTCGTTTTCATTCGCTAAAACGGCGTTCGATCAAGTGAACGCCTCCCACTTATTTCGGCTCGGTAGAGCCGCGCTGCCGCAGAAAGGCAAGCAGATCGTGAAAATCGGTCTCAAACGTGCCACGAATGTAATGTCGTATACAGGAAGCCAACAACAGACACCGATAACATTTAAGACAAGAAAGGTTTTCTCTTGTTTTCTTGATCGAGATGGGTTCTCGAATGTTCACGACATCTTATCTGTTGAAGAATGGGCCGCGGAGGCTTCTGGTGAAGACATCTTTCACGATGTGCCGGTGCATTCGGACAGCCTGCCGCATCCAGCTCCTCAAAGCAACGCAGCCCCCCCCTCCTGCCTGCCAGTTCTCTCCGCGTGGTGGCGCGAGCGTAGATAAACATGGCGGCACCCTGGAATCGGCGCGGACACTGGTCTATAAGGTGACTGGAATCAATTCCTACAATTACCGTAAAATACCGGGCAAGCGCCCACTCAAAATTTTGAGATAATCATGAAAAAATGGGGGATGGGCGCTTGTCCGGTCATCAGTTCTACATACCAATGTACTGTGCAAATTTTTTCAGATTTTACAAATGTGGGAATGGGCGCTTAATGTGGTATGGGCGGATGCACGGTATTCTACGGTAATCAAAGTCCGGAAATTGTTGCACACCGCGGGTTTAAGTCGTCCACAGTATATAGTACACAAGGTATGCTTGCAAAATTCAAGTGAAGGCTGGTACATTTTAAGTGTCACTACCTAGCCAAGGTTAATAGGACTCTATTATCTGTTTCTTTTTGTATTATCTATCTTTGGGACATCCATTTAGTTGAATTCCTTAAGAAACCATAAAGGTCTCGTCCTTGGTCTTTCAAACATAGGTCTACTGCATCACAAGCGTTGCCGATTCCCCAGCCAGGGCTTCGATACAAAACGTGCTCCAATATAATGGGTATTACGGCTGCGGCTGGCGCCTTCATCCTGGACTTTGTGTTGAAGGCTCTGTCAAGTACCCAATGACGGTCGGCATGGTGAACGACCTAAAAGTCTTTTTCTTCACGGGCCACTTTGGGCACTCTCGTGCTTTTCGAGAGCAATATGGGACAGCTGCTCAAACTTGTTTCTTCAGCAAAAGGTGTCCCATACCAGATCCTGTCTCGCATTTTTCTTCAAAGTAGCTTTCGCCAACTACAGTGTATGGCTTCGGAGGAAGTGCAGGAACTTTGCTCACAAATGCCTAAAAAAAGAGATGGTGCAGTGAATCTTCTCGGGAAAGCTAAGGCAGCACCGCAGGATGTCTCGGACCTGTTGCAACACAACCTGGGAGCTGTGCACAATGTTGAGGAGTTCAGCCGTGTACGCATCTATGGATGCACAATCCACAGTGAGCAGTACAAAAGCCCTCTGAAACGGGATTCAACAGCTGTTAAAATTGGAGACAACTATACAAAAGTTGAGCATGTACTATGTATTTGGAAGCCTGATGGGACACAAGCGGTGTATATCCTCTCGCATGTGTACGACATTGACAACTTTCCCAATGTTGACTACCTTAAGTTTGCACGAAAGACTGGCTCTAAGCAGTTCCACCTGCTCACTGAAGCTGCACGCCCGTGCATGCATTTGGAAGTGTTAAATAGGGTTGTGTTCGCTCAGTTGTGTGGCCACCATGGCTGGTCTTAGACATTGAAGGTTGTGTACATGAACACATATTTTGGACCGGAACTTGTTGCAAAATTTGTAGGTGTGTCAAAAATATGTGGAAGGCTGTTCCCTTTTATATTGTTACCAATGGTAGATATGTCATGTGCTAATAATGTTAACATGCATCCCTTTTTCTGAGTGCTGTACTGTGCTGGAAATGTTTGCTAAATATCATGTCTAGCTGAAGTGTAAAAAAAATGGTATATCCATTAAGGCTCGGCGATTGTATAAGTGGTTATAAAAAGGGAGCTGGTTGATATTTGGACAATCCTTTTCAGTTTTAGGTAGTTATTGGCTTTGTTAACATTTTTTTTTGTTTTGCTACTTCTGAAAAAAACAACTTGCTCAAAAATTTAAATATAAGCCCTGTAAATACTTTTTCTATGTATAAAAGTTTCTTCTAAATGTTAAATAGTTAAAGTCCCATATATTTTCATGGTCCTTTGTACAGGACATCAGGCATGTGCTTTGCTCATGTATGCCACATTCTGTGAAAGTGAAATGGTGCTTCATAGTATTTGTGAAGGCAACTTTCTTGAAGTGTAAACTGAAGGCATAATTGCATATTGACCTTCAGAATCTCCTGAATTCTCATCTTTTAGGAATATTCTATGAAAAGCTGCCTCCTCTTTATTTTTCTTGCCGTAATTAATAATGTGCATAGACCAGATGATCATACATACTGTACTCCTTTTGATCTCATTTAAACCTCTGTGCTGTTGGGTTTTTGTTAAATAACAGTCTATAAATTTGTTGTATGGCCAGCCGGATGCAGCTCTGAGGTTCCGCGGGTGGCCAAAGTGTGGCGCCACAAGAAGCTTTCGTACGTCTATTCATAAGTCTTCGTAGATCCATTCATTCGTTCCAACCCAGACGTGGTTCTCAGTCTCACCGCTGCAGTTTTGAGCGTCGTGTTGGATAAGTTATCTTCACCACCATATAATATCGGCCTGCGCACTTTCAGCCAATCATGGGCGTTCAGGGAGAGATCCGTTATTGACCGTTATTTTTGTTTGATCTTCCGGAGCGCATGTGGGCGAGCGGTGTGCGACGTGCGCGAAACCGAAACGCTCGAGCGCAACCGAGACCTTTGGCGGTGCGCGTCTGCGTGTTAGATGTTTCTTTCAACCAGTTCGGCGGGATGGCTGCTGTGTATGGACACTACTGTGCAGCAAAGTGGTGCCGGAACACGACGAAAAGCGCTGACTGCAGTTTTTTCCGTTTTGCAACGGACGACAGGTGAGACTAGAAACTTCGTACACGCGATACTGAAAGAGGTGAAAGCGTTAACTTATGCGCGCTACTTTTCTTCTTTTCTATTTTCTTTTTCAAATAGAGCCAGTAAATGGATATACTACTCAAATCGCCCAGAATTCAAGTTGTTGCCTCTGAGCAAACTCCGCGAGCGTTGTCTCTGCGGCGAACATTTCGCCGCTTCTGCCTTCAGAAGTTCAAGGAGGACACGACTCCAAGATAATGTGTGCCCATCTGTCCTAGTGACAAAGCCATTATTGAAGACCCTCATCTCTCCAGGTGAGCCGGTTTCAAAATGTTTAATTAGTGTTTGTATAGGTAGCTTAGGTATAAGAGCAATTTTCTTCCATTTAAAATTACGTGCGATATCACATACCTTTTTGAGATATGAGCCCCTAGTTGGCCAAAATAGCCGTAATAGAGGCATAATATGATGCATTGCTGCACAAAGCTGAGACTATCACAGCGTAACTGAGGAGGTATCTGCAATACGCTTAAAGGCTTGCGACGCCCACATGAGAGTAGGCAGCATTAACGGCCCGATATTGCGCCAAATGATAATTATAAGGACCGCTAAAATTTACAAGCTGTAATCCTACTTTCTATTTATTTTAGAGTTCCTCGCTCCTGGCATTCGCCTAACTGGTGCGTCCACCGCCTCCACTTTAGGTAAGTAAAATGCATTGTTAATAGTAGCTGCATCTCGTTGCAAATATTATCGAATCTTTTGTTTGCATACTCTTAATGTAGGAAGGTGTGGAATAGTCAGTCTAACTTTTTAATTAATTGGCCATCGTTGCTAAAGTGTAATTAGTGGGCAGTTCATATATTAATATATTTATTAAACATTGCTTACATTATTTATTACAGATCCACCTGCAGCCCCAGTTGAGCCAGGACCATCACACAGCAAAGACCAAGGGCTGGAAGATCCCACCACATGTAAGGATGGCTTAAAGTGACTTTTAATTTGCTTTTTATGCGAATAGAAATCACAAACTATCCTGCTTATCCTAATATCTACTGCAGGTGTTCCTGATCAGGCTCTGACTGACTCTTATGCACAGGAAGAGCTCCGGCCCCTGCCTGGTAAAAAAGAAATTTATTACCCTTAATTGGCGATGGTTGCTCAATTTTGTTTCATGAGGTGATTGTGAGTTGTGAACTATTGATCAAACATTCTACTCGATATACCGTAATATCCCGAGTCATCGCCCATCCCCGAGCTATCGCCCACCCCATCTTTTGGGCCAATATCGATTTCCGAAAAAACACCGAGTCATCGCCCACCCCTTCAAATACCCCAGCGCGGACTCTGCGATCCGCGAACACTCATCCTACCCGAATGACGCGGCCCCGGACATTACAGTTGGAGGACGTCCGTGACAAAGTAAAACGAAGGAGGGAAAGACACTTCTTTTTGTTTACGCATTTCCTCCGTGAGCGACCCCAAAGTGGTCGTGTATCCGTGCGAAAAGAAAACGATGTAGATAACAAAATAAGAGTTTGTTAACGTAACCGCGGAGTGTTAGGTCAAAGTCTGTCTCCGCCGAAGTAAGGTCACCGCGAACCCGCTCCTTCTTCCCGCCCGTCGCGACCGCTGTTGTGCAATATTTTAGGCAAAGCCAAAGCGTAAATAAAGCTTTGCTGGAACGTCCTACACAGACGTTTGCAGAGCGTCCCAACCGTGCATTGATAGCCCGCCGTGCACGGACGGACGCACGTATGTACGCACCAAACAAGAAAGTTGCGCAAGAGCTTGCAATTGACAAGGCGCCCGACTTGGCCCGACGCCAAAGTATTTGCCAACGCGATCGCCGGCTTTCCTGCTTTCCTAGCATTGCTCTTGGTCGCTTCTTTGGTCCGCTCGCTCGCTCGTTGCGCCGGGTCGGTTTTTCTATTTTCTTGTAGACTTTTCTTTCTTTTTTTTTTTTCTAACTAGGAGAACATAATGGTGACATTCTTTCACGGAACAAACGTTCGTGCTATATGCAGATCAGCGGTGTTTCTGGCGCGTATGCAAGCAACGGACTTCGCTATAGTAAAATGTTCTTTCGTGAGCATTTTGTTTTTATAAAACAATGAAACTAAATAGAGTTTTGAATTTGATGTATCTCTTTTGCATCAGCGCTAGATACGCAGAGAAAAATAGGCGGTTTTTTCCACTTTTTTTCAAGTGTTTGTGCTCACCCACCGAGACATGGCCCACACCACTTTTTTAACGAATTTCAGGCGGTTGGGGGGTGGGCGATGACTCGGGATATTACGGTAATTCACATATGCTCCTGCAACTCACAAGAGACAGGGCCATCTTCACTACTGCGCCAGCTGTGAGGAAGATGCATAGCAGAAAGACACTATCATAAACACACTTCTAATATTTATAATTTCCTCTATATTCTTATGGAAGTCACAAATGTTGTTTCTCATTCCAATATTTATTCCAGATGTTCCTGCACAATCATCAACGCAATCTTTCCACGCAGGTGAAGAAAAGCGTCCCTGCTCTGCTGAGAAGCAACTTAGTTTGATGAATTGGCAATCAATGCTCGATCATATTGTAATATGTAATCTTGTATCATACAATATGTGTCAGACATTGCTCAATAATTTTCACAGGTGCAGCTGCAGTCCCAGGTGATACGTGGACATTCCACGAAGAAACCAAGGAAAAGGAACCAGCCAAATGTAAGCAATGAATTACAGATTTTTCTCGCACTTTTTTTCTGCGCTTCAGGCACCAAATAATCTTCCTCAATCCAATATTAATTTCAGATGTTTGTGTGCAAACTACAGAAAACTCTACTGCACAAGAAAAGCCACTACTGCAAGCTGGTGAGAAGCAAATTGCAATAAGAATAACTGGGAATTAGTGCTGACTTGCATTTATTTAAGGGCATTATGACTACAAATTAATAATTTTGGACTGCATGATTATAGCCTACCTACTGTACATGCCAAGGCCAAATTTCAAGTAACGATTGGAGCTTTGGCCAGGATTTGGTCTTTCTCCTGCTCCAGCACGCAGCAGCAAAAGAAACACTTCTGCAGTCTGGCAGATAAGGGGGACTAATGACATCATTTACATTTTTAAACATGGTGGAATTGTCGAATGGGTGGACTGGAGCACCTCGTGGTCATATATTATTTTTAATGGAAAATAAATTCCAGTGCCGTACAGTCTGTAAGACTGTACACCACTAATGCAGTAGGAGCTCTGCTTTAAGCGCAGACTTGCCACCCTTGATGACACAAAGATTCATGTGCAGCCAAAGTGTGACTGGTGACAACATGTGTGTGCTGGAGGCGGAGATTCTACCGCATTGTTATCCTGTCACCGACTGTTACCACCAGTTGTTATTTTTCTGTGTTATCACTCTTTTATTGATAGGAAAATGGACAACACTGATAAAAAATTGCACTCAATATCTTTCGCATGTGACTGCGACCCAAGAGGAGGCAGGGCCATTTTCACAGCAGCACCTGCTGCAAAGGATATGCACAGCAGGGTGGACCCACCACAAACAAACTTCTGATATTTATAGCTACTTTGTGAACGTAAATAATTCCCAATGCTATCTCACTTATTTCAATATTCGTTTCAGATGTTCCTGCGGAGCCCACACCAGACCTCAATCACCCACAACAAGAACAGCAAACTCAACCTGGTACGATTCAAGGCCTCAACTTTCAACATCCCCGCAGGGGGCACCTGTGAAAGCAGGTGTTTGGAGAGTGGCGTCTCCCCGGACCCCGAGCTCCGCAGGGGGCGCCTGCACCTTAGGTGCTAGGTGCTTGGTGAGTAGCGTCACCACGGACCCCAGCCACTTTGGCGACACCACAGACCCTGAGTAAAAAGTGGCTAAGACCCACCCACGTCTGGCTGTGCGTGGCGAGCCCGTGTCCAGGGAAAAGGGCATCCTGGTGGTTGAGCTGAGTCCGGGGTAGGTTTGGACCCTTCGGGGCCCCCCGGGCGAGGCAACACACCACTTTGGCCCCTGCTTCCTGTAGACTGGTGTCCTGGCTTGGCCCGACCAGGATGATTCAGTCAGTCGCCACATCTTCTACTATCCCCTCTTATCTTTCTCTTTTCTCTGCTCTTCTTTCTTTCATATTCACCATCTTTGGCAGCAAGGGCTAACCTTGGGTGGCGATAGACCCCTTGTCTTGACCCGCACTAGGTTATAGTGTCTTGGTAGCACTGATAGTGTAATGTCGTCAGCAAAACCTTTATTGCTATGGCGCATCACCTATCCCCATGTTGGGCTCCGTGGTGGGTGGTGCGCTACAGACGCCGAACGCCTCCCCATTTATTATGGGTTCCAAACACAACCAAAAACCTGATCGGGCCCTGAAAAGGGCCCGCACCGAAGTCCTTTACCATCCCGCAAAGTCCCCTGAGCTTTTTAAATTTCCGAAGTTTCTTGTCCTCCATTCTGAGGCGGAAAAGCCACTTGCCAAGCTTTCTCCCTTCCTTGTTTCTAAAGTCCTTGAAGGTGTCATTGGTACGAACTTCAATGCCAAAAAGTTGGCTTCGGGCGACCTTCTGGTCGAGATAAACACAAAACAACAAAGTGACGCTCTTCTCGCCTTGAACTCCGTTTCAGATTACAAGGTTAGCGTGACTCCACACCGCAAGCTGAACACCATTCAGGGAGTCATCTCTGAGAACGACTTGCTCGAAACATCTGAGGAAGAGCTCGTTGAGGGCCTCGCCAGCCAAGGGGTTGTAGGTGCACGCCGCATCACCCTCCGCCGAGATGGTGTCGAACGAAAAACAAGACATATTATCTTGACATTCGATTCTACCACACTACCAGAGACCATAAAGGCAGGATACCTCCAGTGCCGAGTCCGACCCCATGTACCGAACCCTCAGCGGTGCTTTAAGTGCCAGCGGTTCGGCCATGGCTCGAGGAACTGTCGAGGAAGGGACACCTGTGCAAAGTGCTCCAGCAAGGAGCACGCCACAGATGCGTGCGATAATGAGCCTCATTGTGCAAACTGCAATGGCAACCACCCGGCATACTCCCAATCATGTCCTATGTGGAAAGATGAGAAAGAAGTCCTTAAACTAAAAGTTACTGAAAACATCAGCTACGTGGAGGCAAAGAAGCGTTTTGCCTTTGTCTCAAAAGGCTCTTATGCCGAGGCCGTGCGCAGGGGACCAGCGCGGCCAATGGTTTCGATGGGAACGCAGACGTCTCCGGACGACGTGCATCTCCCATCACGGTCCCCCTCCAAACCCCCGGGAGCGGTGCCAGGGGCACCGCCCCCGAACCGCAAGGTGAATGCTGCCTTGCCAGCATCCACCCCAGAACAGGGGACGACGTCTCCTGCTCAACCGGCCGCTTTGACCTCTCGGGGCCGGGGCCTACCTCCCCACACCTCTGCTCCCCAGAGGAAGCCTGGGGAGGTGCCAAGGCAGTCGACCTCCAGGGTCCAGCTGCCGGCAGCTGCAGACGAGCCCATGGACGAGGGTGGGTCGAGATCCGATGAGGAGGCTCTCCTCTCAAGATCAGAGTCCACCCCTTCTGCCTCCGGTGACTCTAATCGGAAGCAGAACCCCTCTAAAAAACAAAGTGCACCGCGTGTGAAAATAGATTTTAAACCCTAAGGAACATAGCTTTTATATAATTTTTATGTTATACCTATTGTGTTTTAAATGGTTAAAAATATAGGGATTATGCAGTGGAACTGTCGCGGCTTTCTACGTAACATAGATGACATCAATTTATTTTTTGATGAGCTCCGCCCTGTTGCTATTTGCCTACAGGAGACTTACCTAACTGACTCGCACACAAAGGTTTTGCGTCATCATCAAGTTTTTAGAAAGGACCGCCATTCCTCAAGCCCTTCGGGTGGTGTAGCAGTGGTGGTTCAGAGTGGAGTGGCTTGTGCCAAAGTTCCATTACAAACTTCACTTGAGGCAGTTGCAGTTCGCATCCTTCTTGACCGCCTCATCACTCTAGTGTCACTCTACATGCCACCTAATGTTCCGCTTCATCTTCACAAACTCCAAGCACTCATCAACCAACTCCCCAAACCTTTTTTAATCCTTGGTGATTTTAATGCCCACCATCCTTTGTGGGGAAGCTCTCGTCAGGACTCCCGAGGTGGAGTTGTTGAACGACTTTTATTATCAACTGGAATCTGCTTACTGAATAAGAAAAAACCTACATTTTTTAGTGCTGCCCACAACACTTTTACATCAATCGACCTATCACTATCATCACCATCTCTACTTTCATGCTTTTCATGGAACGTTTTAGACAACCCTTTTGGCAGCGACCATCTACCCATAATTTTAGAGAGCGTTTTACCAATTTCATCGATACCAACTCGACTCCCGCGATGGAAGTTGGAAAAGGCCGACTGGTCTATTTTTGGTTTAGAAGCAGCACTTGATCCCTCCTTGTTTCTTCATATGACTCCCGAGGATGCGACGCTTTACGTTACAGAATGCATTATAAATGCTGCTTCCGCTTCAATTCCACAGACTTCAGGAAATCTTCCCCGGAGGTGCAAGCCCTGGTGGAATGAGGAATGTACTTCCACTCGGAAAAGCCAGAACAAGGCGTGGGGAACTTTTCGGCGATATCCAACTTTCCTTAACTTGATCGAGTTTAGGAAAAAAAGAGCACAAGCTCGATGGACGCGAAAACGGGCAAAGTGGGCTTCTTGGACAAAGTATGTTTCATCCTTAAATAGTTTTGTCACGGCTAAAGAAGTATGGGATCGTCTCAAAAAAGTACGCGGGCAGTACCATGCTTTCAGGATTCCACTTTTTCCTTCGATCTCGGCATCTCTAACAGGGCAAGCAGACTTCCTCGCAGAACATTTTCAGCGTGTTTGTAGCTCTTCCAATTACAGTACTGAGTTTGTAAAGTTCCGGTCTACCGCTGAAAAACAGAAATTCACTATGTCGGGCTTTAACTCTGTTGCATACAACAAACCATTCACAATGTGTGAACTCGAAGTTGCTCTCAGCTTAAAAAAGCAGTCTGCACCTGGGCCAGACAGAGTTCACTACGAGATGCTCAAACACCTCTCTCATGAATCCTTGTACCACCTGCTATCCTTTTTCAATTACCTTTGGGAAGCTGCTGCTTTTCCGCATACTTGGAGATGTGCCCACGTTATACCTTTGCTGAAGCCTGGAAAAGATCCCTCTCTAGCTACAAGCTACCGCCCCATAGCACTTACAAGCTGCTTGGGGAAAACTTATGAAAGGCTTATAAATCGCCGCCTTATGTTTTTTTTGGAGGAGAAAAACTTTTTCGATACTAACCAGTGTGGCTTTCGGGCTGGACGGTCGACTATGGACCATCTGGTCCGACTTGAGACCGTCATACGCGAGGCCTTTGTTCACCGGCAGCATTGTGTGTCCAAGTTTTTTGATTTAGAGAAGGCATACGACACTACATGGAGGTATGGTATCCTTCGAGATCTGTACAACTGTGGAGTGCGTGGCCGCATGCTCCGTTGCTTACAGAACTATTTAAGTGAACATACATTTCAAGTTCGATTAGGCTCGACTTTATCCAGTATCTTCTTACAAGAAAATTGTGTCCCCTAGGGTGGAGTTTTAAGTGCCACTTTATTTGCAGTTAAGATAAACAGTCTAGCTCAAGTTATACCGTCATCCGTTTCTTGCTCTCTTTACGTGGACGATGTGCAAATATCTTTTTCGTCTTGCAACCTCTCTAGTTGTGAACGGCAATTGCAGCTTACAATAAATAGGATGAGCAGGTGGGCAAATGAAAATGGTTTTAAATTCTCCCCAGAGAAAACTGTGTGTGTGCCCTTCTCCCTGTGACGAGGTCTATCTTTGGATCCATTCTTACAATTGAATAACACAGAAATAACGGTGAAGCACGAACATAAATTTTTAGGCATGTCTTTGATAAAAAGCTTACATTTAAGTCTCATGTAAATGAAATAAAGCAGAAGTGCTTGCAATCCTCTAACATCCTTAAGGTGCTGTCACATGTATCTTGGGGGTCTGACAGGTGATTCCTCCTACGGTTGTACAATGCTTCAGTTCGGTCACGCCTGGATTATGGAGCGATCGTTTATGGTTCAGCACGACCTTCCACACTAAGGATGTTGGATCCGGTTCATCACCTTGGGCTCCGGCTTGCCACTGGGGCATTTCGCACATCACCCGTATTAAGCTTGTATGTGGACACACATCAAATGTCTCTTGGAAAACGGCGACAGTACTTGAGCCTGTGTTATTATTACAAAGTCCTCTCGGATCCCAAAAATCCTGCTTATAGTATTTTACACACCCCTCAGTTCTGTAAATTGTTTGAAAACAAGCCAACAATTGTGCACCCCCTAGGCTTTCGAGTTCAAAGTATCTGTAACTCTCTCAACCTCCCTGTCCCTTCCACAAGTGGTGTTAACTTGCTAAAGTCTATGGAGAGAATCGCCCCTTGGAACGAGCTACCCGTATGTTGTGACTGGTCTCTCACCAAATACAGTAAGGAAACCGTTGCTCCACAGTTTCTTCAGGAAGAGTTTATATCTTTACAAGAAAGGATATCCAGAGGTTGCAACGAGTACTATACCGACGGGTCGAAATCTTTAAGTCACGTTGGTTGTGCAGTTTATTCTAGTAACTTTGAAAGAGCTGTACAGCTTGACTCAATGGCAAGCATCTTCACCGCAGAGCTCTATGGTATTTTATTAGCCATTGAGCATATTCTGGACAACAATGTATTGAACGCAGTCATTTTTGTCGATTCGCAAAGTGTCTTATCTGCTATTTCTTCCAGAGTTTCTACAAAGAATATACTTACACAACATGTTTGTATTAAAGTAAACAGAGCTCTTCGCCTTGGATGCACTATCAAATTTTGCTGGGTACCGAGTCACGTAGGAATCGCAGGAAATGAGAATGCAGATCGCCTGGCTGAGAATGCAGATCGCCTGGCACAGACTCAATAGTATCTTTTGGCCTGCCCTACCAGGATTTTAAACCACTTCTAAAGGAATCTCTTTTAAAGACTTGGCAGCTGGAATGGGACACTGAAACCAACAACAAGCTCCACGTGATTAAACCCATGATAGGCATCTGGGAAAGTTCATTCCACAAGAACCGCCACCTTGAGGTTCTGCTTTGCCGCTTGAGAATTGGCCATTCACGTTTGACACATACATACGTTCTAAGTGGCGAAGATGTTGCAGTTTGTGCCCATTGTGGGGAATTACTTACAGTTTTACACATTCTATGGGAATGTAGGTTTTATCATCAACTGCGCGTATCATGTTTTCCTGAACTCTTTAGAAACCATCTTCCCTTTCATCCTATGTTTTTACTTGGAGACAATGCCTTAGTACCACTCAGACAAGTTTTTGATTTTATTAACAAAACTGGATATCTACACCAGTTATATAAAGTTTCTCTAGCCTAGCATCTGTTTCATTCTATCTTTAAAAGACATTTTGTTTGGCGCATTATGGCCACCGTTGCCGCTGCGCCATTAAAATCTTAATCCTAACTAACTTTCAACATTGAGATAATCTTTATATCAGTTGCATTTTAAAACATCTTGATGTGTTTTTTTTTTCAAATTTGACTCTCTCTAACAGCTCCCCACCAACAAGCTGACACGGAAGGCGTGGCCTCAAGTACGGCTCCAGCTGCCACAGTACACCCCAAGTAAGGCAAGGTGGCAGGCCAAAGAAGCGGTACACGCCCCGCACACAGGGCACATTAATTCACCTAAGGAAAACAAGAGATTGACTGCGGAGGAGTCTTTTCAAAGCCACAAAAAAGACGGACTTCTCTGACCTAACGAGGACTCAGGTTATTCAGGGTGCTTCCAAATTCCTTTCGAAAGAGGCTCTTGAAATTTTCAAAATTCAAATGCACCTGCAGCCAATGCACAAGTTTGGGCGAAGGTGGCCTGATGAGTTCAAGCCTTTCGCACTAAACCTTTACTTTCATAGCCCCAGGGCTTACAAGTACCTCGCCAGATTTATGAGCTTGCCGTCAGTCAGGTCCCTCAAGAACTGGCTGTCTCGCATTGCCATGCACCCAGGGGTCGTTCCAACCCTCATTGAATCTGTCATAAACAAAATTCAGGTTTGGCCTCTAAAAGATCGAGCTTGTATCCTTATGTTTGACGAAATTTCTCTCAAGCAAAATCTCTTCTACGAGACAAAATCTGACCTTGTGCATGGTTTTGCAGACAGTCTTAAAGAGAGAACTGCTGACATGGCAAACTCTGGTCTAGTTAATTGTCATGCTGGGAGGTATTTCTCAGCCCTGGGTGCAGCATTGGCATTCACTCTTTCAAAAACAAAAGCCCGGCAAATTGCCTGAAAGATTTGCTGACCGACATCATTGAAAGGTTGAGTGCGGGAGGAATCTTCGTGAAGGCCATCGTGTGCGACCAGGGGGCCAGCAACTGCACTCTCGCAGGCTTGCTGGGTGTCACAGTAGATCGTCCTTTCTTCTCTGTCAGTGGCACCCAAGTGTACTTCCTTTTCGACACCCCTCACCTTCTAAAGTGTACACGAAACAACCTGCGGAAGCACAACCTCAAAATTGGAAACCAAATTATCAGATGGAAATACATTGTTGACCTTTACAAAAACAAGCATTCTTTGCGGCTACGAATGGCAAAAGAATTAACTGACCGGCATGTTTATCAGACCCCATTCGGAAACATGAAGGTAAAATTTGCTGCGCATTTTTTTAGTGACACAGTTTCCCTTGCTCTTGCCACCCTCATCTCCCTGCATGAGCTGCCCCCCGAAGCCCAGGCCACATGCGACTTCTTAGAACAAATGGATAAAATTTTTGATTCGCTGAACAGCTCGAACACGAAAGCTGAAAAACGCAAACTGAGGTTTGCTCTAAATTCCACATCCGGCCACATTCATTTTCTTCGCACAAAAAGCACCTGGATCTCGCAATGGCAGTTTCAGTCGCCACGACGGCCTCACACAGTGAAAGGATGGCAGATTACCATCAATGCCATCCTTTCACCGTGGGAAGATCCGAGCCAAAACTTCGGGTTTGAATACCTTTTGACTAGACGACTGAACCAGGATCCGCTGGAGAACATGTTTGGCATGATCAGACAGCATCATGGATGCAATGAGACGCCCAATTCATTTCAGTTTGTGGAAGGCCTGAAGCACATTTTCCTCGGAAAGATGTTTCAGCTTTCCAGTAGAGGAAACTGTGAATCAGGCATTTCCGCACTACTAGTTGAATTGAGGCGTCTCCCTGCATCCTTTGCAGCCAGCCACCAGCCAGAACCATTACTTGTCATTGACAGTGGCGAACTTGAATTGCCCCCTGATGAGCCAAATTTTAGCATTGTAGAAGAAAATGTCCTTTATCACTTTGCCGGATACCTGTTTCAGTCGTTCCTGCAGAAGAGCTCGTGCCAGCTTTGCCCAAACTTTTTGAAGGCTTCAAGTGAAAACCTGTCATCAGAAATTCAATTTCATTCTTTGCTTGAGGCAAACGTGCCAGGCTCGAGATTCGGTTCATTCTCCACTCCTTCTAATTCGTTCTTCGATTATTTCAAGGCTCTTGCACACCTTTTTAAAACGCATTCAGGACCACATTCACATGACAAAGGTTGTCGAGCGCCTTGTACATGTCCTGGAGTCCCATTTGGAACATCAATTTTGCTCCAGGGCATGCACAGTGCACTTCCTCAGTCTCTATGTGAATGTGCGCTTGCGCTGGCACATTCGAGACATAAATCGAGAGTTCCTCAAGCTTCACACCCCTAAAAAACCCGAACAAAGGAAACGTAAACAATTATCGGCTTAATCGCCCTTTCTTTTTTTCTTTTGCTACGGGAATTTCGTTACAACTTGTTTTCATCTTGCTCGAATTGTGAATTTTTTTTTTTTGGGTGTGTGCAACCTGCATGGTGTGTATATTCGTTACTTAAAATCCTGTAGATACTTCCCTGCATATTTTATATGGTCCTTTTAAGGTTGCTTATTCATTGGGACACATGCATTGTATATACAAAAAAAAACAAAAAAACTTTCGAATGCTTTGCACTGGAGTTTTAGAATCCTTTTTCGTGAGTCATTTATAATGTCTTGTAAATGTTTTATTGAATGTCGTGGGTTACAGCTTAAATAAATTAAATGTGCTATTTGTGAAAACTGCTTGTTTAAGACTTATGCAGCAATTTAGTAAATTTGTAAAATATGTAAATAATAATGGAAAGATGGCGAGATGTCAGTGAAAGCAATTATTTGAATTATTTGTGTATGATGTAACATTTTACATGTTTATGTATCTGCGCTCTTCATCTTACCATCAAGGTGATTTATTCATTGTTTCTGTGTTCCTGTAAATTTCCTCTCAATTCTGTAAATACCTGGGAATTCTTAAAACGTGAAATAAGTTCAAATAAAATGCGTCTGATCCAATCTTCCGATTTTATGACGTTTCCTTGGTGAGGCTGTGTGCAGTGTGCTTGTTGTTAGGCATCGATAAAAATACAGCAAACACAGATGTCTGCATCAAGCGACGTCCGTGTTTACAGTGTGAAAAAGCGATGCTCTAAACAGGCGCACGCTCGCGCGCCGTACGCTAAATCTCAACACGCATCACCACCCATCATCGTACACGCACGCTCGATAAACACACGCAGAAGAATGGATAGTTGAGCGAGTTGGGAATTCATCGTAGGAAACAGCGCGAAAAACAGATGGGGACGAAGGAAAAACACACGGGACGAGCGCTCGTCCTGTGTGTTCCTTCTTTGTCCATCGTCTGACTTTCGCGCTGTGTCCTACAATAAAACACACGCATGCAAAAAAAAAAGGAACGACCGAGAAAAAGAAAAGACAGGAGGGGGGGGACGGCGAAAGGGGAGAAAGGTGAGCAGGCTGATGATGGTGATAGCTGTTCGCTTTAGTGGCGCCGTGGCGCCATCTGCAAGTTATTTACAACCCAGACCTAGTTTGCGAGGCTGCCGCAGCGCCAAGCGGCGCTAGTTTCGCCGTACCATGGTGGAAGCTACGGCTGCACCCGGCTGGTATGGCCACTTTTAATAAAAGATTGTTTTTGGTAACACCGACCTCTCATTATAAAGAGAACTTAGTTTGTGCTTGCAGTTGTTAAATAAGTGCAGTGAACTTATTTTTATCTAGTCTATGATATCACTCTCCCCTCGTTTACCGAATATTCAAGTAGTAAGGGCCTATCAATGGAAGTTTTGGCATGGGGTAATGTAAGTTATGTTTGTTAGAAGCTAGATGCAAATGAGAATATGCTCATGCTGTACCTAGCATGAGTTCAAAAAATCATTAAATTATATTTTGAATAGAACAGGATCAAGAGGGATAACACCAGCTATTATCTAATTTATTGTGGGCATGAATGCACTGAGACTTTGCGATCCTATACTAGTAGCAGTCTAATTCAAGTAGCAATGGTACAACTTGACAATCAAATTTTTTTAAATCACTTCAGTGAAGTCAGCTTGCAGCCAGACAGACACCAGTTGCAGTCCAAGTAGCACCGCTTGCAGCCTAACTGGCACTGCTTACAGCACAAGTGGCACCACCTGCAGCCCAAGTGGCACCGCTTGCAGCCCAAGTGGCACCGCTTGCAGCCCACGTGGCACCGCTTGCAGCCCACGTGGCACCGCTTGCAGCTCAAGTGGCACCACTTGCAGTCCAAGTGGTACCATTGCGAACCCAAGTGGCACCATTTCGAACCCAAGTGGTACCATTTTGAACCCAAGTGGTGTTATTTCAAACTCAAGTGGTACCACTTGAATGAAAGTGGTACCACTTGAAATACCACTTTATATTTTCAGCTGGGGAGGTTGGGAGATTGCGTTTGTTTGCCTAATCACACTGAAAATGTTTTCGAGAGCGTCTTGGGTCAGTCGGCTGAGCGACAGGTTCTTAAAGAAAGATCAACTTAAAGTTGTGCTTTGTTAAATACAGGTTCACATAACGGTTCTTTGTCAAATAGAGGTTGACCAAGAACAACTTAAAGTTGTTCTTGGTCAAATACAGGTTCCGCAAAGAGAGCTGCGGTTGTCAAAATCGCGAAACCCTGTCCGTACCGTCTTGCAGGAAGGGCTCTTGCCTGGCAGATGAATGGTCGTCTTGAAGAGATCCAGCACCTCGCTCAGGAACTTTATGGCTTCGTCGTGTTTCTGAGAATTAAGCTCATTCATTGCAAGGCTCTTGTTACGAGAGGTCATTAGTCGGAACCACTTAAAAACAGTTTTGAGAAACCACGTCATGGTGATTGCAGCAGGAGACATCGTTGCTCGTTCAACAAGCACTTGCCGATCATAGTCAACAAGAAGAGAGACGGCAGTATCCACATGTGTGTAATCCTTTGGGCTCCCAACCAGGTGGTTGTGATCGATTTGTTCCTTCTTGCGCATATTGACGGGCTATTGAACTCGGTCAAAGGAGCATCTTGTTTTTCCAAACTTGACCTTGCGTCAGCTTATCATCAAGTGCTACTTGACCCTAAAAGTCGAGACCTCATGGCGTTTATCACGCATGAGGGTTTCTTTCGCTTCAAGCAAGTTTGTTTTGGCCTGGCCTCTGCGCCGGCTGTATTCCAGCAACTCGTCTCAAAAATCCTTTAGGACTGCCCCGGCGTACGGTTCTACCTGGACGACGTGGTTGTCCAGGTAGAATTGTACCGAAAGTCATGCAGTACATATTGTCGACATGGCCAGCTGAAGACAAGCTGCCTCCAGGGTTTAAGCCCTACTGTGCCGTCTGAGAACAGCTCTCGCAGCTGGATGGGTTGCTGTTTCAAGCAGCAAAGATTGTCGTGCGCAGACCAGTCTGCGTGACCAGGTCATCGAGATAGCGCACGAAACTCATCGAGGGATCACAAGGACCAAACCTGTGAAGACATACTGAATGCCATTACAGCCAGTTGACTTTCCATCTCGTCCTTGGACGAAGTTAGGCGTGGACATTGTTGGTCCATTTGGGTGTGCTCCACGCAACAAATGTTTTTTTTATAACTCTTGTGGTCTAGCACATCAAGTGGCCAGAGGAGATGAGTGTCCACAACGTCACGACTACGTTGGTGATAGACTTCCGGAAGTTGGTCTTCGCACAAGAGGGGCTACCGGAAGAAATAGTCGCTGACAATGGTCCTCAGTTCATCTGTAAAGAATTCACAGAATTCATGAAGACTCATGGTATCTGTCATGTCAGGGCATCCCTGCACCATCCTCAAGCGCATAAGCGGGTGGAACGCTTTACCCACGTCTCGAAGTCCACCATTCATTTGGCTGTCGTACAGTGACGAAACCTCCAAGAAGCCGTCACGGAATACTTGGGAGTGTACCGTAGCACTCGTCACGGTGCGACGGGAGAGACTCCTGCGTTCTTGCTTCATGGCAGGAACCATCGCAACCATCTTCATCTTTCGGGGTATCCAACCCCCGAACCCCAACTTCCAAGTTCCAGAGTTCAAGAAAGGCTCCCACACACAGTCAAGAAATACCAAGAATGCATGAGGATGTACTCAGACAGAAGACACACTGTCAAGGGACCTACATTCATTCCTGGACAGACCGTTAAGGTGAGCGAACCTCGTCACAGAGGCAAGTTGCAGATGAAGTATGCTTCTCCTTCGTTGATCCAAGACCAAGTGTGTCCAGCTACGTACCGGCTGGACTGTGGATCCACCTGGCATGCTTCCAAGTTAACTCACATGACTCTTCAACCTACAACTAGAGCATCCTAGTTTTAGGAGGATCTGTTCTCCCTCAACCCCCCCCTCCCTTCCACTCCAGTTGTTTCGCCTGCAGCCCTGCCGGCTCTTCCGGAGCCGCCTGTTCCTGGTTCGGCCGGCCCGGACACCACGTATCCAGATCTCGAGGGTCAATGTCCGGCCTCAGGTCTAAGTTCCGAGGGTTCCCCTCTTTTTCCTGAAAATCCTGCTGCAGCTGAAGGTCCCCTTACCGAGGGTCCTCCTGAGAAAGAGCTACTTGTGCCTGAGAAGAATGCTCTGGCACCTGAGCAAAACTTGTCTCCTGGGACGTCGGCAGACAACAGCTGGTCAAACGCCAGCTGGTCATCCAGCTGCACAGAGACAGCTACTGAGGGTGCTCCTTCCAGCGCCTTCTGTGACAGTCCAACAGTGCCAGTGCCATCGCCTATGAGTGTGTCTTCGACACCACCAGTCACGACACAACCCACATTATCTCCTAGACTGGAGCCTCCCGAGCCCCGAGATGTGGATGATTCAACCCCCCAGCATCAAGGCCGTCCGCACCCCTTGCGCAGGTTGCCAGAACGATTTAAAGACTATTTATTAAACTGGCATGATACCAGCCTCACACTGAAGGAACTCTAGATTAATTTCAACAAGTGCATACATGAACTACCGAACACTACTCATAGCCAACCTCAGTGAATTTGTTTTGTATGTGTAGTGCGTACAAAGACAATTTGAGAGGATGTGACAATTTTCAGTGTTTCTACATGTCAGCGAATATTTTTTTGTGTGAAGTGTTCGGTTTTGCTTTTCTCGTAACATGCAGCAAGTGCTGTGTAACTGGCTCTTCTCCCAGTGTTGTGCCCAAATTTTGTTTCATTCTGCCCAATTTCTTTTTGCTCCATTTGGTTTTATTCTGCCCTTAAAGCTTTGACCTTATGAGACGGTATCTGTATAGACCCCATGCACAATTGCGCACCCTGACGGCGAACTTTTCGTCAGTTTCGATTTGCACTGCATCATGGGACAGAAATCGCCATGTTTAGGTCAGCAGTCTCGGCGCCTCTTTCCGTACCGTGAGGTAACCGCCAACGTGAGCATTCCGTGCTTTTGCGGCGTACGTGCGTGCCCCCAGCGTGCCCCGTCATGAGCGATGGCGTCTACCCCACGACTGGATGGACGAGCAACTTGGCTCGGCTGCCGCGAATCTCGTCTCTGGACCTTGCCCGCCTGGCGTCCTGCTCGGGAACCGAGAAGGGAGCTCGCCGGAGCTACAAGTTGGTTACGGAGAGCCACGTCGTGGCGTCGACGGTGTGCGCCAACTACGACGAAGAAATGTGAGTGGTTATAAGTGTTTTCTGGGGGGGAAGCGCGAACCTTGAGATCAAGATTATAGCGTTGTCGGGTGAACACATGTGACGGTTGTCTTGCACTGGCGACTCTTCGAGGACTCACTTTCGCTCGGTCTGTTCCTCGCCGAGGCAAACTGCATGCAAGCGACTTCCGGGCGGTGGGAGAGGTTTTCGGGAAATCCAGAACCGAGCAACGCGACGAGCGATGGCATAACCCATCGCTCGCCATATCGCTCACGTGCGCGCCCCGTTTTACGACGTGTTTGCACGCGAGCGCTAGTCGGGCGGTGCAAGCTGAGCTGTGTGCCCCTGTGAAAACGAAGCTAGGCGCCTCAATTCGAGCGATGCCAGACCGTCACTTGGCTTGCGCCGCAGAACAGGCTCGCCCAAATCGGGAGCTGTGTAGCGATTCGCACGCGCAGCCATGTATCAGGCTGCAGCTTTCAAACTGGCACATTCTCTCAGAAATATCTAACACTGATAATGTATTTCACATTTTGCCGTGCCCTGCATGAGATGGCGCGGTGTGCCTCACATGAAATGGTCAGGACCGTAATGATTGGGAACAGGTGCTTATCGCTTATCATTGTCATTTAAAGGGCCTCCAGATTCTTCTTGAGAGCCAGATGCTTCAGGAGCCACAAGAAAACACAGCCACCCTACACCGTGAGCGCCACCATCACCAAGGACGGTGAACTTGTTAACGGATATTGCGAGTGCCCAGCTGGGAAGCAAGCCTGGAGCCACCTCCAGGCCGTCCTGAAGACGGTAATTTTGATCCAAGGCAAGGGATTCGCCAAGGCCCCAGCACATCTGTCATGCACAGATCTGCCACAGCGTTGGAGAAGACCGAGGGGCCAGGTCATCAAAGGTTCAAGCGTGCAGGGTGTAGATTGGCGGAGGGTGGGCAAAAGACGACAAGACTTGCCGCGCTCATGTCGGCTGGACCTCAGCAAGGCTAAGGAGCGTACTGTCAGCCAAAAGAAAAGCGCCGCGCTCCAATTCACAAGCAGTTTGCAGCAGCTGGACGGGAAGACATCCTTGGTAGCAGTGTTGGGAGCTGCAGATCGAGCACAATTGTGCAGCTCCAAGTGCGGCGATGTGCTTGCTTGCTCTCCACTTGCCTACCAGCAGACACTTGTCCCATTTGGATTTTGCATCTTGAGGAGCTGGAGGCACCTGGCCATCTGAACATTGGGCGGCCACTAGAAGAAATGGTGCCTTTTCTTGAAAGCGACGAGTGGACTGTTTCGGATGGTGTCAGCACGAAGGCAAGGCTTCTGTTAGAGGTTAGCTTTGTTTTCACTTTTTCCTAACATACTGGGAGCGTAATTTCAACTTATAAACTTTACTACCGCTGCGTGGTGTCTCAAACGACCAACCATACTCCATTTCAGTGCACAATGTTTATAAAGCAAGAGCACTGTACACCCTTAATCACACCTAGCTATAACAAGTCCGTGGTTTTTCCGTCCTCCCATCGCCGACATAGCAGGTTCACTTGCAAACGCCGAACACAGGGTGTAGTGCTTCCAGACTGCGCAGTGTTTTCGAGTGCAACTGCTATGTGTGCATTGGGAGGACAGAGAAACCGCAGACCGTCTGTTAGACTATCACTCTAGAATTGAATATTATTTAAACTATTACGACAGTGCTTGAGGCAGATGCTTTTTCTCCTGTAAAAGATAATGGGGTCTTTTGCCATGCAATGGAAGCTTATAGACTATTGCATTTTAAGGTCTCTATAGACATTTGCAAGAAAGGCTCCAGGGAGCTGCCATTTTGAATTATGCTGGCGCCGCCTAGCGTGCGGCGTGTTTCCGCCGGTGCTGGTGTGGGTAAACGCGACAGTCGCCCCGCAAACCCAATGCAAGTCGTCTCGGTGTTCTCAACCTTTATGTGTTTTGTGAGCTTTAGGTATTTTATTTTCGTCTCTGGCCGGTGGGTAGTGATCCCAAAATCTACTTAATCGGTGTGTATCTGGTTACGGCCGTAAACAACCCCCTATATTTTTTTGTGGAGCTCGTTTTTCACAGCGAGCCACCGCGGGCTAAGGCGCAATGGCGTCTGCTTCCACGAGCGACGCCTGGGATGGTTTGGATTTCTTGGTTCTTGACGGTAAGCGTGTGCAATCGTTCTTTACATAAATATCATAACACAGTTGTAGCAGCGTGTTTGTTGACTGCTGGGTACCGTGCCTCCTGGGCTCCAGAAGGGCGCATTGTGGGATCGCAGGGGCAGCGACGCGGTTAGAAGCATTGGAAGTACATGCAGTGTGTCGGTTAAGCAATGCCTAACGCACGATAATACTCATTTTCAATATTAGCAATGCATATCAGGACTTTAGGATCCCAAGACCTAGCCATTCACGCTTTTAACTGCCGCCGTGCCGCGCACTTCAGCGCCACTCCGGTATGATAATTACTTGTACACGATGGAGTGTTCGCGATGACAACCAGTTCACCCACAGATCGTTTCATCGAAAGTTCGTTACATTGACAGCTCGAATTAGCTACTTTTTCTAATGAGCCGCCTATTTGCCGCCGGTAGTCGGCAGCGGGTCCCAGTGATGTACGCGCGACGAAATTTCCCTAAGCGTGCTGTCGATGAAACGAGTCTCGACGAAACGATACGGACCTGAATATTCGCGAGGGCGAAAAGTCTCGTACATGACGGAATGTTCGCTTCTGTGGATCGTCACTTTATGGATTTTATTGCGAAGCGGTTTGCGAACAATGGGGGAAACGGTGGCCGAGCCTGCTTGCGGGTCGTAGCTCGCGGAGTAAAAGCTTACGCTGCAGAACCTAGGGATCCGGAGTGCGGCCCCGCCCCTGCCCCTGGGCGAGCATAGTACCGGCACGCGTAATCGCTACTGCCTGATGCATCTTTGAGACCTCAGGCTAGCAGCCGTACTTAATGAACCACGTCGCGATACCTCGCAGACCACCCTCAGGCTGTTAAACAACTCTCAGACGTCCAATTTTTTTTTTCTTTTTTGCTTCTGTGTAAACAATGCGCCATATGCAGTTTTTTTTAAACCACGCTGCTGAATGCCTATGTTGCACAGTGACAGAAAAAAAAAAGCGATAGAGCAGGTTGTTCTCGGCGAACAGAAGTATTCTTTTTGCTGTGCAACACACAAGCAGTTTCCATTAATGCCAATTGCTAGCACAAATTCTGTTCAAAGGCAGTGTTTAATGAAAACTGACCCGTATGGTCACAAATGACGTAAACACCTTATTGAATAGCTCTGTGAAGAAAGACATGAACTGTGCCAAATCAACAAGAACAATTTATTGCAAAGTAACGTATTGTTGAAGACAGTTTCTCCACTCTATCTCAGAAGTCAACTATTCATCTTGTCCTTATACAAAAGTTTCCAAGCATTTATTGTTTGTTTTTTCTTCCAGGATCTGTGCCCTACGTTCATCCAAAGGAAGTGTCAATCTGGGAAGACAATATGAAATCATGGCCACCCATAGAAAAGCCGGACATCATCTTCTACTTGCTTCACTCCAAGGCTTGCGATCTTCAGGAGGTTAGAGCCTACAAGAGCCTTGATTCGTATAATTACCTGTCAAGTGGCCTGGTGGGAACTGTGCTTGGTCATCGAATAAGTGACCAGTTGTGCTACCTCAAGGCAGAAGTGGGCAGGTCACAATCCTTCAATGCTGCACCACACAAGGCGTGGGTATGCATGCATTCCACTGGCCGGGTGGTTACAGGAGGCTGTTCCTGCATGGCAGGACAAGCGAAGGTGTGTAGCCATGTGGGAGCCATTTTGTGGAAGTTAGAACACGCTTTTACGAACAGGATGACCGGCACATCTTGCACTGACGAAGCTGCTGCCTGGAACCGAGGCACAAAACGTAATGTAACTGCAGCAAGCCTAGATAACATTTCGTTTGGAGAAGAACAAAACTCAGAAATTCAGGGGACTGTAGATGGGATTCGGTATGAGACGCATGAGGAGCACCTTCAGCACATTAAGGAGGGCCCCCTTGCTGGGCTCATGGAGATCTCGGGGACCTTGTTTCACGAGACATTGATGGCGCCTCCACGAGACCCTGCACCCCCTTTAGCGGTTCAGTGCGATACAATGCCTTCACTCGATCACAGCAGCCATGAAGATGCAACGACCCTTCCCAACAGCTGTTCCGCCTGCTCAAAGGCATACAACGAGCTTGTAGCCATCCATGCACCTGCCATGGACCTACTCTGCAAAAGAACGGCAGAGCAAGGCAACTGCACACTCTGGCACGAGAGCCGCCGCATGCGGTTAACATCGTCCATGATAAAAAAGGTACCTATGAGGGCATCAACCAACCCTTCCAAAGCTGTGCAGGACATTCTTCACCCGACTTTTCGAGGGAACAAAGCAACCGAGCATGGCCGCCGCAGCGAACCCAAAGCTAGGAGCAAGTTCATGCACAGATACAACTGTGCTGTTCGACAAGTAGGACTGGTGGTCTGTCCTGAGCTGCCATGGCTCGCAGCCAGCCCTGATGGAATCGTCGATGAACTTGATGCTCTTCTGGAGATAAAGTGTCCTAATGTACCAAACTGCTCAGCGTTACTAGAATCTGGAACCTATGATGTCCGCAAGAATGGCAATGGGGTTTTCGTGCTGGACCCCAAAGGAAAAAATAAGTACTACCACCAGGTTCAGTTTGCGATGCACTGCACTGGCAAGCTCGTCTGTCACTTCTATGTGTGGTCCGAGGGTCACGACGAGGTTGCAGTTGTGCAATACAGCAAGGACTTTATGAACTGCCACCTGCCAAGGGTCAGAAACTTCTACTTTAAGAGCCTTTTGCCGGCATTTGTTGATGACACCAACTCTGGAAAGATTTCACTCTCAAATGTGTACAAGCAGCTTGCACAGATGTGATTGGGCAGGTCAGTGTACTGTGTCGTTTTGTGCAATACAATGTGTGTGATGCTTCGCTTATCCATGGTTTTCAGTGGTATTGATTGAGTAGTTTGTTATTTCACCATGGCTTATTACTTCAAAATCTGTAGTTTGTTATTTCAACATGGCTTATTACTTCAAAATCTGTAGTTTGTTATTTCAACATGGCTTATTACTTCAAAATCTATTATTTAACACAAGTCAAGCCACTGTTTATTAGCCACAACTGGCTGAACTAATCTGGGCCATGCTTGTACAACAGTTTTCAGGTAAGAGGGGAAACAAGAAATTAAAAAAAAAAAAAACAGTTTCAAGCACAATGCTGTGACTATGACAGGCCCTCTAGCTCTATCCACACAACACCTTCACAAAAGATAATGAAAAATATGTAATCTTGGCAGATGTGCAATCGTTAATACACAACAGAAATACACAGTTGACTCTTGGACCTGCGTAAGGTAGCGGTAGGAACATGCCCGAAAAAATAGTAACACATTACTAAAAATAAGAACAGACAAGATTGCGGAACTGAACTTGGGTTATCTGACAAAATATTGCTAGCCACTTTTACTAGAAGGCGTATGCGCATAGCATTTGGAGTCTATGCAGGGCGTGTTTGTAGCTTGGGTTTGAAGGCCATTGTGTTATGCGAGAGCATGTAGTGTTAAAGTATGTTTCAAATGTATGAATACTGAATAAAAAACACTCACATAGTGTAGATAAATGTAATCTAAAGGAACTCTGGGGCAAAAAAAGCAATGCAAGAAGTGGCAATTACAAAAGAAAAGTTCCATGCATACAGTTTCGTAGAAGTTTCAATTGCTTCTAGGATAGAGAAGTGATAACTCGGAACTGGTATGCCATGCAGACCTCACTGCTCCAGAACTCTCAAGAAAAAAGCTCACTTCTTGATCAAAGGTCCCTTTAGGTTGCATAGCCCTGCACATACATAGACTATCTCATTTGCAACCTTGCGATGCTGGATGGGCAGTGCCTGTTTCAGAATCCTGTAGGATTTGATCCTATTTATTGCCCGTTCTACATGAATGCGAACAGACGCAATCCTTCTGGTCTCTGTCACTTCTCGTTCTGACAGCTGAAGCTTCCCTCGAGTAAAGGCTGGCACATTGAGTACTACACCCTTTGCTTCCATTTCGGGATCGAGGGAAAAGCCCCTGTCGGCCATCACCTGATCCCCGTGTTGAAAGTAGGAAATAATTCCCGAGTCTCTCACAATATGCTTGTCAGACGCTCGTCCACCGTACACCTTGGACACAAACATCACTGATCCGTGAGGTGCAATAGCCACCAAAAACTTCACAGTGTTGTGGCCTTTGTATGAGCTGTAGGTCTGTGCTCGAGCGAGCAATTTTTTTGGTCGCTGCAAGAACACCTCAGTGCAGTCCAAAATGCAAGTAGTGCCTGCAAAACCATTCTCCTCAAAGGACTGCGGAACATTCCTGAAGATTGTCTCTCGAGAGAGCCACACAACAACATTCCTTAGGATCCGCCCAAGTGTGGCAAGCATGGCACGGAAAATGTTGCCTACGGTGGAAACTGAAACCCCAAACCTCCTAGACAAATCGCCATAGACAAGGCCCAGCCTCAACTTCATCAGAGTTAGTAAAACTTGCTGCTCTACTGACATCATGAAGTTTGTGGTCGCAAACTCTGGTACAACTTTCACCAGCTCCATAAAGACATCTGCATGCAGACCGGTGTAAAAGAAAATGTCCCGCGCCTCAATGCTACGACCACCATGAGGACCAAACGTCGCAGTTGGAGCAGTGGGCCTCGAGTAGGCATGGTCGCAAAGACACGGGTCTTCCCACTGGATCCCCTGGTGGCACACATCCGGGCGAACTTGGCCGTGATCAGTTGTCTGTGAACAAAATCAGAGTTTATCAATTGAAAAAGTAGGCTGCTTCTGTTGGAGAGCAACTGAACAATATTCAGTACAAAGAGATATAGCAACTATCGAAGTGGTGCAAAAATGAAAAAGCCTGTGCTTAAATTGTCTCGAATCATGTTTAATAGTCATAGAAGTAAAGTAACTAGTTTAAAGAGGCCGTACAACAGATGGATAACAAAAGATTCTTTGTTTCTGTGTGTTTGTTTTTATTATTTAAAAATAAAACATATTCATGTGTGTTGCACCCCTCAACTTTAACACTCTCTTCCAAGTCACGGGTGAGGTGACGTAACCAAGGAGGACAAAGAGGGGAGCACTGTACTGAAAGTAGACCCTTTCCGAAATTGCTCTTCGCAACCATGAGACGCTGCCCTGACGATGTTCAAAGATGTTGGAAAATGTGGCCAGCAACAATGGTCAGGCAACGGGCAGCCATAAGCAACGTTACTGGAGCAAGCTCGGTTTCACAGCTCTCCATTCTCACCTGCGAAGCCGAGTGGCGCGGGCGGCGGTCACGAGAACTAACGGTGCTGCAGTCGGATCTTGCTGCTCGCGTCGTCTGCTACAGCGTTCTCTGCTACCGCCGCGTTGAGAGTTAAGCTAGAGGTTTGGCGTGCCCCGCAGGAATATGGTTTTAGCTCTGCTATTCCGCCCTATGCAAGGGATGAAACCCTGATCATTTATTCATGCTCTTGGCTTCGACTGTGCCATGAATAATCTTATTTTCTTTCTTATTTTCTCGATCACCCCGTCCCCTGTTTCTTTAAAGTGACAACCTCCTCAATTTATGCTACTCCTCATTTCACTATAAATCAAAGCTCAATCGGAGCGTTTGGGCGTCTATGGCAGCCAGTGTACCACCAAAGAAAGATTGTTTAAACAAGCTTTAGCATTGCTGAGGCTCATTGAACTGCTAAGGCGGCAAGACTACAAGGAGCCACTCTCCGAGGTTGCTTGTACAGAGCTCCCCAGCAGTGCCGGCGTCTCCATTGAAAGCTATAAAAGCAGTTACTGGCAATGTTCGGTAGGTAGTCATTTTGCTGGAAGTACTTGGGCTGTAGCTTTACATATTTTGGTATATGAAAATGTTCCCCTTACCACAAAAAAAATGCAAATTGGACGTTTGGGGGTTTAGACAGCGCGAGGTCGGTCTGCCAGGTATGGCAACCTGATCCAAGCCGTCGCTGATCAATTTAGTCACTGCAGTACAACTGCCAGCCTGAGACTACTATCGTGCATCACACAGTAGTGATGCGCATGCGATTATGTTTGTTGCATTCAGCAGATCATGCTGCTGCTCACATCAACTCTAGCTTAACTTGAACCTACCGTGTGCTCAGCAGCAGTTGGTTGTGACGTCGAGACCGAGACGTTGACCTGCTCGGCGGCTTGCGTACAGTCAGTGACCTGAAAGGAACGCATCAGCTTTGCATGCTCAGAGCGATAGATTACCACCCAAGATATGTTTATCGCATTCAGCAGATTATGCTGCTGCTCACATCTACTCTAGTTTAATTTGAACCTACTGTGTGCTCAGCAGCAGTTGGTTGTGACGTCGAGGCCGAGACGTTGACCTGAAAGGAATGCATCAGCTTTGCATGCTCAGTGCGATAGATTACCACCCAAGATATGTTTATCGCAGTTAGCAGATCATGCTGCTGCTCACGTCAACTCTAGCTTAACTTGAACCTACCGTGTGCTCAGCAGCAGTTGGTTGCGACGTCGAGGCCGAGACGTTGACCTGCTCGGCGGCTTGCGTACAGTCGGTGACCTGAAAGGAATGCATTAGCTTTGCATGCTCAGTGCGATAGATTAGCACCCAAGATATGTTTATCGCATTCAGCAGATCATGCTGCTGCTCACATCAACTCTAGCTTAACTTGAACCTACCGTGTGCTCAGCAGCAGTTGGTTGTGACGTCGAGGCCGAGACGTTGACCTGCTCGGCGGGTTGCGTACAGTCGATGACCTGAAAGGAACGCATCAGCTTTGCATGCTCAGTGCAATAGATTACCACCCAAGATATGTTTATCGCATTCAGCAGATCATGCTGCTGCTCACATCAACTCTAGCTTAACTTGAACCTACCGTGTGCTCAGCAGCAGTTGGTTGTGACGTCGAGGCCGAGACGTTGACCTGCTCGGCGGGTTGCGTACAGTCGGTGACCTGAAAGGAATGCAGCAACTTTTTATAGTCATTGCAATAGAATAGTGCTAGACACCACATCCTATGCATGCGAAGTTCAAGCTCTGAAGCTAATATGACTTCGTGTCAGGCACAACCCCTGTGGCAGCGCGGGCGATAACAATTATATTGCAGTGGGTCAACTTACAGCTCCAGAGCTAGCTTGTGAGGAGAGTCTTTGCTTCTGCAACGGAAATCACATTCGTTGAGGTCACATACTAAAAGCGAGAATCTACAATCAGCCATGCAGACGTTTACCTTAGTGATCAGCGGTTTCTCACTTGCGTCACGCACCAAACGGCGTCTCCGAACGACAACCTGTCAGTGCACAAGCGTTTAGGGCACACTGCGTGTATCAGAAATGGGACTCTATTGCGATTAGTGGCATATTTACCTTCCGCGCATACCCGAGGTTAAGCTGCGGCACGATATCCTCGCCCGTCTTTTTCCCAGTCACGAAATGCGCCGAGCACACCTGGAATCAGGCACGAGCGTTACGCAAAAGATCACGACAGTGATAAAGATATGTCGAACTCACCCGGGTGTGTTCCGTAGGCTTGAAGTCCTTGCGGTTCAGCGCGGAGAGCCACTTTCTTTTCAGTTCGGGATCCTTGGGGACACGGTGGAACTTAACTATCCCACACTCGCAGGGCGTTTGCAAGTGAGCAGCGCACAATTGCTGTCTCTGATTGTTCCTCTTGCGATGATTGTTCGAACAACCGAAAACAGCGCAGTGCACTCCTGACGACCTTGTAGGATTATTCATCGTGCACTATGGACGAAGTGACGGAAAAGAAGGCGCACCGAGGAAGAAACTTTCGAAAAGGCGCAGACCCCACGCCAAGCAACGAGCGTAAAGTCAACAAACGGCACAATGTTGCCGGGAAGTGAAAATGCGGAGAGACGTCCCCGCTAGCTGCGCCGACGGGGGAGAGAACGCCCTGTTGGAGAGTGCGCGTCGTTTCGGCGCGCGGTTCGAGGCTAAGACGGAACGGCGCTTGCAAACGTCTATAGTTTAAGATAATGTAAATAACATTTTTTGGTGTGGGTGGTAGCTCACAACAGATGCCAAGACATATTCAGACTGCGACACCTCAAGCATCACAATGCCGTTCGGTAACCCCCCCTGCCCCCTGACATACTCATACTCTGTCTCACAAGTAGGGGAGAAAGGGCGAGCACTAAGAACATTGGAGAGGAGAAGAGGTTTATCTTTTCTTCCCTTCGTAGTGCTTGCCCTTTCTCCCCTTGGCCCGCACTGCCTTCACCTGCACTGCAAGCAACTAGTGGGATGAAGTACAATAAGGGCCACACTCTGGTCCCGTTACGTTTACCTTCGGTTTTACTTCAGGGATGGTTATTTCTGTGCTTGTTTCGTGCACATACATTTTCCAGAACCTTTCTGGGGCTGTGCGACCCTAAGGCAATACTCGGCAATCCCCGCTTTGTACACCTCTGGTCTATAATAATTTGGAAAAAATGTTTTAACAAAGACAGGAAGCCAGGAGTTTCAGAGAAGATTTGTGTTCACATCACTGTGTTCTTGTCTAAACTTGTTAATGTAATTCTGCTTGTTTCAGAAAATAACACTGACGCCACTTGAAGCACAAGACCTTGAGAAGAACTCGCGGAGGCAGCGCGACAGTGCTACCTGGCTTCAGGCAAGGCAGTACCGCCTGACTGCATCGAACTTTGGCACCGTACATCGTCACGGCGAGTGGACAGAGAAGGGACTGGCAAACCTGACCTCAACAAAGGATTTGTCCAGGGTTCCTGGCATCCGGTGAGCGTAGCATTTCAAAATCAATTAAGCAAATTCGCAGAAACAATGTTTTGCATGTTGCATGACCTCCCCTAGGTTTCTTTGGTCCAGAAACTGTTGCTAATGCTATGGGAGAGCTTTCTGGGGGGACGAATTCAGCTGCCAGTAGATTGTACAAAGCCTACTGGGAGAGGCAGAGAAATGGTGCCTGGAACATATCTTCGACCAGTATGTGTACCTAAAGCCGCTCGATAAAATCCATGCTTTCTGTCAGTTTTAATAGTACAGTCATTCATTGTTCTGTGAATGTGCGAGGTGCATGCCTTAATGAAATAACATGGCGTTTTGATAGCTCTGGCAGTGCATTGCCGTTACTTCTTTCCAAGGGTTGTTCAAGATATATGTCTCGTGCATTGGCACCCTTGACGCTGCTTGTAAAAGAAACGCCGATAAAAAAAAAAAAAACTCGTTGAGCGGCTTTATGTGAAACCACGTCTTTAATTCTGGTCCCTCGATTTCTGCCTGGTGACGTCAGAATTGAATGTACTTTTCCCCTATTGCAACACTGGTGGTAGTACACCAGCAGTGTCATGTTATAACAGGTTATAACAGTTGTATCCTGGCAGGCTCTGCTGCCTGCCAGTCGAGGGAAACCTCTGTTGCCACAAGTTGGCATGCTGCAACAGATACCTTTGTACCCGCTATCCTTCTTCACCATATTTTTTTTTACCAATAACTGCCACAATCGTGACACTCGACAGCCTGAACCACCCGCTCCTCTCACATAATTGTCCGACATGAAATAGTCTTATTTTCATACTGATAGAGAGAGGCCCACAGCATGCTGTCTTAGGTCTTTCATTTAACAGTATTTTATGCCTTACGATGAAAAACCAATGGTTCTGTAGTGGTAACTTCTAACGACGTGCTGATCTAGTTTGAAGAATGAAATAAACATTGTATATTACTTAATTTGAATTTTTTGTATTGTGTATCTACTTTTTTTAGGTATGGGATTGTCAACGAGCCTAAAGCACTGCAACGCTACGAGCACGTTTTAAAGAGCAGGGGCCGAGACGTCCATCTGTCGAGTGCGGGGCTGTTCGTGGATCCTGACCAACCATGGCTCGGAGCAACTCCAGATGCAATTGTGTACGACGCGACAGAACAACCACCATGGGGATGTGTAGAAGTAAAGTGCCTCTACTCCTTGAGGAATGCAGATTGTGACACACTGCTCGCAAGTAACATTAGTGTTGCTTTTGACAGCTCTAACCGTCCGCATATCAAGACAGAGCACCCCCACTTTGCTCAAGTGGTAGGACAGATGGGGGTAACAAACCTCAAGTGGGTAGACTATGTTCTCTATGAGGACAACATCCTAACCATTCAGAGGATCAGGTTTGACAAGAATATTTGGGAGGACATAAAAGAGTGCTTGGACAACTTTTATTTCACTACTCTTCTGCCATACTTTGCAGCAAAGTCGTAAAGAGAAGCTGGTGAAATTTACCGGGCCCCCTTAAAGGTGCACTGAAGTCATTTTTAAAGAAGGTAATTTTTTTTTGTTATATAATTTGCAAGGTGTTAGCTACTTTATATATCAAGTTCTAGTATACAAAACTGCGGTCCACATTCTCTGGCCCCAGGAAAGTCGTACAATAAGCATAGATCCTAAGCAATTTTATTCTAACTCGTTTTGAAAAGAGTCATACGCACACATTCTGATGACTATTTTCTGGCCGCAGGGGAAGCCATCGCTTGCAATTGGCCGACAATCGCGTTCGTCAACCACGCACTCTGAACAAATATCCCATGAGAAAGGGCATGTCGGTGATCTTTGAGAACGTTTTAGTGGGAAACAGGCCAAGCAGGATTGTAATTTTGGGGTTTTAGAATCCTTAAAGGGGCCCTGCAAGGACTTTTTTAGTGGTTTTTAATTTGCACCGAACCTGAGCACACTGAACGTAGTAATTTAGTGCAACTTTTCTTTTCTCGAAATTCCCTTTATTTTAAAAGTTATAGGCAAATTAAAATTACAAAAACAAGCAAAAAATAACCTCCTCATGACGTCCTTGGTTGCTTGAGAGTGGTCGTGAACTAAAGGAGGGGTAGTGAGCTTATCGAGCGCTCACGGCTGCCGCACTCCTTGTGGACGGCGCGAGAGGGCGCCACTAAAGCATGTTCTGGATAGGCTGTGTGCAGCGGGCAGCTGGAGCGGCTCTCATTGCATTCGCTGCGCGATTAAATACTAATTCGGCATGACACTTCATTGGCCACAAACGACAGGAAACACGGGGTAAAGATCAGTTCAGAATGGGAGCCACTTTGCGCTGCCATACCGCGAAACGGCCAAACCTTAAGACAAAGCTTCTCGCCGAAGGCCTTCGGAACGCTCAGAGCCGGTCGGATCCTCCTGTCCATATGACCGCAGTGCCACCGCATTCATCCGGGACCTTTCCGTGTCGACGCCTGATCCCACTACTGCTTTCTAGTATGCGCCGCCTTTTCCACCGCTTGGTGGCGGGTATGTCGACGGGTTATTTCTTGTTTCCATACTTTATGAACTGCATTCGTTTCTTTTCTGATCTAAAATACTGAACAAAAACTACTTTCATAAATAATTGAAACGGTTCGCACCACTTATATTTTGGGTTTCGACTAAAAAGAAGCTTTTAGCGGCTCTGACCAGTAATAAGCCCAGGACCAAAGACATCACATTTTGCGCGCTTTCGGTACCGCGGGTCGCCCTCGTCGGTGGAGGAGGTTTCCGCGTCGTCCGGTTAAAATATGACACACTGATATTTAGTTACTCTCTCCGTGCCCGCTGTTTTGCCCGAACCCCAAGAGACGTGGAAACCGCAAAAAAGGTAGACGCTTAAATATGATTCAGGGCCCCTTTAAAGTGTGTAGATTGAGTTATCACCATAAAAAGACTATCTCAAAAATGACTTCACTGCCCCTGTAAAGTTTGTACATGTAAATATTTTTTCTTTTGATTTTTGTAAGTAGAACGGACTTAAGGCTGCTCAGCCTTAAGCTTCTGTTTCAATTCTCAATATTGATTTGTACAAATAAACAAACAAACATGTATACATTGGCTCAATCCACTTCTTTTAAAATAGAGGGTTTAAGGTTGCTCAGAAGAGCACAAATAGTCCACATCTGGTTAACTATGGGACCAAGAGAGAGGGGAACAATTCTGTCAAATATATGATAAGTCTTAATGCGCTGGATTCTCCTCTCTACGAGAATCCGCAAAGAAGCAATGTCCGCCGTTTCTCGCACCTCTGCAACACTGAACTGTTGCTTCGTCGGAAACGGTGGCAAGTTCAGTCCAATAACTTTCTTCTCCAAAAGACCTTTGATTTTAAATCCCTTGTCAGCCATGACTGTGTCACCTGGTGCAAACTCTTGTTCCAGAAACCCACTTCTGATCACAAGTTCTCTGTCTGAAGTTGACCCAGTGAAGAGCTCTGAAACAAAGCTCACAAGTCCGTTCGGTGAAATTCCAATTAGTCCCTTGAGAGTGTTTGTCGATTTATATGGAGAGTATGTTCCCGACTGCAGAACCAGAGAACTGGAGACTTCGCACCGAACTTCAGTGGCATCAATAATCACCCGTGTTGTTGGATACCGTGCCTTAAACTCCTCAGGCATGGTTGAGTCTACAATATCACGTGGTGGCCACCATGCCAGCTCCGACAGTCGGACATAGAGCAGGTTAACCCATGTTCCAAAAGCCCTCGACACAGTGCCGGTAGAGACGTTGAAGATGTGTGCCAGGTGCATGTGGAAATGACCAAGTCACAGCTTGACAAGCGTCATGAAAAGCTGGTCCTCTTGAGATAGCTTGTGCCGACGACCTCTTGCTTCCCTACTTGGGTGATCCGGATTAGCACCATCACTTTTTGAGGCTACATACAGCAGTAATCCTTTAAAATGACCGTAGCTTTGCAGGCCAGTGTAGAACTGGATCCTGCTGTCGTCGTCTTTAAATCTTTCTGCCGAAAATGTCTTCTTCCGTTTGTCTGCCTCGGACAATTTTCTTTCGAGCTCTTGCATTTTAGCTGTGTGTTCATTCTTCAGCTCCTCGTTCCTCCGCATTAGACACACTACTTGTTCCTTTGCTCGTGCAAGGTCTCTTTTTGTTGTGCTCAGGATGTTGCTGTAGTTCAGAAGAATGTTACATTGATCCTTTAGCTTGACAAGCTCTGCATCCTTTTCTTTCAGCTGCAGCTTCATCTGAGTCAATTCTTCTGTGCAGGCACAGTTGCATTTGCCTTGTGTCAAACTGATGCTTGCAGGTGCATCTGTGTTCACCGCCCAGCCTGGAACTTGGCTTGTTGACGTTCCTACATCATTTAGGTCTGGGTGAGATGCCATTTCATCGCTGCAAAACACATCTGTGCTGTTTCGTTCGAGGAATTTGGTCTGCATGGGGTTGTCGGTTGGGAACCGGTCGAGGCACGACTTTCTTGGTGAATTCAAAAAGAGAAGGCACCGCATTTTCCTTCAAGTACTGTCGTCCCCTTGCCACATTGGGGACGAAGCTGTCCGGCGTGAAGTGCCTTGAGCACACCTTGGTTGTTTGCTGAATGCTGAAGTGTGCACCAGGGTCAATTCTGATAGCATGGATCCACTTCCATTGTAGTTTGTTCCCAGAAGGAAACTTGTGGAATGTGACCTAGTTCGAGAAAAGAACTGTAATTAGAGATGTCCAACAATCACTCAAGTCACCCGTAGTTCACATATGCTGTAAATGTTGCTAAACCTTGTTTACTAATACGAGGGAAGCAACTGGCTAAGTTGTACTACACTTCCTAAAGCATAATAATGTGCTACGAGTTTAGTATAAATCATTTTCTGAAATTTTTTCTTCACTTGTTTCAACCAAAAACCTGTTGAACTTGGCTGGCGTGAGCCGTTGGACCATCTCGTCCGCAAGGATTTGCACGTCGAGCCACGAGGAAAACAGGTCGGCAAATATGTTCACGTTCTCCGCTTCAAGATTTTCAATCGCAGAGGCTTCTAGAATGTGCGTCCTAGCGTCAGCAGTGACTCCGCATCATACGCTACGCCTTCGGGAAACGCTCTCGTTCACAGGCACTGCACATGCTCCTCGCACGAAGTGATCTGTCAGTGCGAAGTTTTTTGTATACTTTCGTTTCACCTTACGACGTGCCGCATCTAAGAGCACGAGCTTCTTGTTCTACGGCGCACCTCGGCAGCACGAGCTCGCGCTTCTAGCCTTCGCTACAGCACATTGTTCGCTCGTGATCCATTACTGAAAACGATTATTGACGTTAAGCGTACCGCGCCACCGGCAACGGTGCAGCGAACTAGCTCGCACGGGCTGTTCAGGTGCGTGAAACGCGGGTGAAAAATCGCGTGCGCGCCTGCGCACGTGGGTTTGTTTAGAAACTTCTACGGCTTACCTTTTTGCTGTTCTCGTCGCGGTAGCCACGCTGGCGGCACAGTGGCACACAGCACGTTTCAACCATCGTCTACCGCAATGTAACACAGCCGCTGACACGAAGCTCGGCGCAAGGCTCAGCTTGCGAAAGTCTGCGCGCGGCGAGAGATGCCGGCCGGCGACAATCCTGCGGCGTGCGTCGTCTGCTGCGACGACCTAAACATGGCGGCTGGTCGTAGTTCCTGTGCGCGGCACTAGGGGCGCCCTTATACGCAAGGGGTCTATTGTGACTGCAATTTCTTGTCGCATCATTTTTTCAATGCATTTTCTAATTTTGGTTTTATTTAATACTCTTAACTGATGCTGTTCAGTTACACTAGTTTTTTCTCTTCTCTGCATAATTGTTCTTTTGTCTTGAAAAATAACACATCTTGTTGCTTTTATATAAAGAAATCTGCATTTTTTTTCCTAAGAAAGGGAAAAATATGGGTCTAATTGTTTTTTTTACGGAATGGAAAGATGTAGTATTTCAGTTTTTTTTATTTACGTTCCACACTAAATAGATGGCACTACCAACTGCCACTAGTACAAGTGATCTACTGTAGATAGGTGTCACCATCAGCCACCATTTGGCCCGTGCCCGCATGCCAGTCGCCCCGGGCGTTTGAGCCCCATGTTGTTGACCCCTTATAAAGAAAGTACGGTTTGAGAACTCCAAAGTGTCAGGTGCCTCTTTCTTTCCGGGGCTTTCTCACACCGCTGCGCCGTTCACCACATCTCATTGGCATGTGAGATCTCGTCATTTTACCGCACATGGGCCCTGCTTCTTATATAATTTTGTCTGTTTTCCTTTTTCCGAATCACAACATGCGCCTCTTTAATCAAGATATTTTTGGAAGATGCATGCGGAGAGCTCGGTCTCTACTTCCTACACAGCCAAGCTGCCCTGTTCCATGCGACTGTGCTGCAGATTGAAGGTGACTTGAAGACTGCCATCGAGGTCCACAAAGCCCTAAACCAGCTGCAAACGAAAGTCCAGGACAGACTGCAGCAGGGATTTTTGCCGTCAAGTGTGACCTCCATGATTACTGCGCTTGAGGAACAAGAAGTTTGAAGAGGATCGGTAACAGAAGTTAGGAATTTCTATCAGACATGCCTGTCGTACCTCGAGTGATAGTGCAACCAGTTGTTTGATGAGATCAGCGGTCTCTCCTAAGCCTCTCTCGACACAGCACCACTTTGGGACGATGTTCAGAAAAGTGCTCAAGTCATCACTTTAGTCCAGCCACGTCTGTTTTGAGGAGAACGCTTTATTTGATGAGGCATGCAACGTCTCTTGTTATGTCGCGGTCAAAAAGCTGGAAAAATGAAAGAGCCAGAAGGAGACTGGTTGGGAAACTATGGGTGGAAGTGCTTCAGTATTTCATAAAACAAATGATGTGCCTTGCGGCAACATGAAGGCAATCATTGAGTACTGCTTGTGTTTGCCAGGTACGAATGCACAAGTGGAGAGGGTGTCTTCGTTGATCAAGATATGGATTGCAGAGAATAGACAGCTTCAAGTGGCAACACTCAAGGCACTGCTAATGCTCAAGGTGAATGTGCACATGACCTGCGAACAATACCATGGACACATCAGCAAAAATGGACTATTAAAAAGGATCCATTCTAGCAAAAAGCATTAGATGTATATACTGGCTAAGAGGAAAACAAACTGGAGGGAAAGTAATGCTACATAGTGTGGTTGAAACAATAAAAAGTGTGATTCATTAACGTTAACTATATGTCGCAACTTTGAGCCGCCCCCCGTCCTGCTTTGGGGTCTGAGGAATATGATCACTTTATGCGTGCACGAAGAAAGGCAAAACCAAAGTCGTGTCGTTTTCGTAAGCATGCGCGCACGCGGCTGCATTGGCCGTGTACGGCTTTGGACGGATAGATGAATGAATCGAGCAATACATAAGTATGGTTTCGTTCTGAATGCTTTTTCGTGCGTTTGCTGGCTATATCCCTAAATTTTTTTCAACCATTAAAAAGAGTCAGTAGACTTTATTTCTTATCAGGGAATCAGCAGACAGCATGCAAAACCGGTAGGTCTACTGAGAAATCACTAGACCTGGCAAAACTTGGCAAATTTCCCCACACCAGCTCCTCGGTAAGTAGGTAAGTAAAGGTGAACCAAGACTTTTTATAGATAAGGGCGGGTACTCTGGAAGAGTGCCTCTGGTGTCGTAATGAAATAGTTTTTACCTTATGAAAGTTCACTTCTGAAGTTCACGGCCGTTGAGGGTTTTCATGTTGCAGCAAAGTCACTTCCACATCACCACGCGGCGCTCTTTGTCTTCCGTTTCCCTCCCCAAGTCCCAGGAACCGTTCCAAGCTGCAGCTTGAGGCATTTTTCCAGGTGTGTTCGAGGCATTTGCATTGGCTGACGATGTGGTTGATACGATAGTCTTTTTCCTCTCCGCATAGTGGACAGGCTGGGTCGTCCCCGTACAACTCGCACATCTGGCCCTGGGTCAGGAGGCAGCCCGTTCCTGCCTGGAAAAGCAGGGCGCTTTCTCTGTCTCCACTTTGCCGGCGGTACGGAGCTAGGTCACTCTTGTGCTTTCGGTAGAACTCGAGGCTCTGTTTCTTTTGGGTTGCCCTCTGCCACTGATGGGTTCCGGCCTATGTTACTTCCTCACAAATTGTTTTGGTCCATTCTCTCTGTCCGTGGGTGCCTGTTCCCTGGCCTTTCTCCCGCTGAATTTGGAATCTGGCATTTAGCTCCTTTATCCAGTTTTTTTTTATTCCCTTGTACCTAATATGGTAATTCATCCTGCTCGTGATGCTTTCCGGCAGGAGGAATTTCAATCTTCCCATGTAGTGTACCTTGGACCTCGCCTTGTTTGGTGCGTGGACCAGCCCATCTCTCCCGTGATTGCTGCGTTCGCCATGCAGCCGCTTCTTCCCAGTAGCCACTTTTCCAACTCGTACTGGTGTCGGTCCAAGCCTTTTATCACTGTCACGGCCACGCTGTATGTGAGCGCGTCGTTGGTATATGTAACGGCTTGGATGGCGAGCGTTGTCCACAAGATTCTGTCCACCGAATATTTTTGTATGAATGTCTGGCCAGACGCCGCACTATCTTTTTCAAAAGGCCGGTGTGGATGATGAGCGTGGTGTTCAGGCCTAGCTCCGCAGCCACCACTGCTGCACTTACTTCACCCGCACCCTATCCCGGAAGTGGAACGACTTCCACCCTCATCTTTAGACACTTGCCAGGGGTATGCCTTTTTGAATTGGAATCTCCTACCACCAGCACCCGTCTCTGATGTTCTGGGCTCCGATTTTCTCTCTTGGGTTCTCTTCAGTGGCTCCAGTTTCCATGTGCCCTTCGGTTGTGTGGTTGTCAGTTCTGTTTTCTCCCTGGTTTTGCTTAAAGTCTCCAGAAGCTTCGCTGTGTGCCATCGATCATGGCGCTCACTGCTTTATGTGAAAAAAAGATTTGCATCAGTTTTCTTTTGTAAAAGGGCACCAGACCTTGCAGATTAAAGTGTTGGAAGTCCAAATAATTGCACCTCCAAAACCGTCTAACGCACGCAATAAGCACAAAACGATGGTTCACATAAAAAAAATAGGCTGAGTCACTTCAGTAGATTTTCGTGCAATTTGAGTGGAAATCTAATGGAGTTACTTGAGAAAAACGGTTAAAGTGCAGGCGAGCTGGTGTAAGTTATACATGATGATTGAAACCTGAGACTGTGGTTTGAAAAACGGAAACTTGTGAAGTAGGAAGAAAAAGGGGCAGACAATGTCTGACATTGTCCCTTTTTCTTCCTAAAATGTGAACCGAGGGGGTTTACAGTTTAGGGTTGAAACCGACACCATCACAGACTTTTCTGTACGAAATGCACACAAGGCCGTATCCCCTCACCCACACCACCTACAATGCCCCAAAAAATTTATAAACACTCCCACAGGGTGAGAATTTTGAAGAAACCTGTTCATGTGCATGACAAAGCCCACTTGCACCTGTTCCGTTTTGCAGATATTTCTGAGTTCCTAAATACAAGGAGATTTTAGTATTTAGGCCAAAAGCTACAGTTAGCTTGCCAGTTGGCACATACACAATATGCACGTAAAGATGGGAACAAAACCATAGTTTATTAAAACAGCAACTCTTTTTGTTCATCATTGTTTGAAGAAATGTAGGCAAGTTAAAAAATAGAAGCGGTTCTAACGTAATATTGAAGAGGCACTTTAGAGCGCATATAAAAGGTTTATGGGCATCAAACTGATAGTTTTCTGTAAAAGTGTACAGATTTAAAGAAAAGAGAAAAAATATGGAAAAAATATATTGATATATTTTGAGATTTTGTAAGATATTTCACAGAATCATGACCCTTTTAATAACAACTTACTAAAATTTAAAAGAAATCAGCCACTAGCTAATAGAAAACGGGGTGGTTTTTTTATGTACGTAACAAAGCACCAGTCTTAATAAAAACAAAGTAATCAACACCATCCATCCCCTTGTTGCTTGCACTTCATTGTGGTAAATCCGAAAAAACGTATAACATTTGTGGTGTTTGTTTCTCATTGCTCTTTTTTTAATCCAGGCTTCAACTCTCATCCAGTGAAAGAAAACAGTGTATACACATCACTGTGCCGTCTTGATCTCTACCTCCCAGGCTTCCACAAAGCGTCCAGCAAGACGGACCACCGGTGACAGATCACCAGGACCATCTTCCAATACAAACCACACAAATTTCGACCAAGAATCCCCAGAAATCAAGCGGCTGTGCATGACCAAGGACCTACAGTCGGCTAAGAAGAAAATCCACGTAATCAAGACAATTCTGAAAAGAAAAGAGCAAAAGATAAAGGACCCCAAAACCCTGGTGGAGGGCCTGAGGGATCAGCATGTGCTCACAGACGAGCTCCGACTAAAACTGGAAGCATTCGGGGAAATACCTCAGGAGCTGCTCAAGGGATTTGAGAAGAATGCCACAAGGAAATTGTCCGGCAGGAGGTACAGTGAAAGAACAAAACAGTTTGCTGCCACCTTACACTATTACTCTCCACAAGCATATGACTATGTAAGCAGACTCTTCCCTCTGCCCTCCGTGAGCTCCCTCAGGTCCTGGCTGAAGGTGTTTGGGGGGTGGCCTGGGTTCACCCGAGAAGCACTGGGAGAGCTCCAGCGTCGGCACACAACGGCAAGCTGGTTCGCTACGTCGATCTTGGCCAAGTACTGGGACCGCACGAGTCTGACGAGGTGCCCATGGCAACGGAGGCCCTGGTCTTCATGGCGGTGGGCCTTGCATCACCCTGGAAGATTCCCATTGGGTACTTCCTCACGAACGGAGCATCAGGGAAGCTCCTCAAAAGCCTCCTTGAAGACGCCATTGCAGCCGTTGAAAAGTGTGGCCTCCATGTCAAGGCCATGGTTTGCGATGGACTTGGGGCAAATGTTGCCATGGCAAAGCTGCTCGGGTGACGGGTCCACGAAACAAACTACGAGAGCCTCCAGCCAATATTTGAGCACCCGACCCGACCCACCGAGGAGGTACACTTCATCTTCGACGCTTGCCACGTCCTCAAGCTTCTTCGAAACCTCCTAGGCGACAAGCAGGTGTTCAAGTCAGCAGTTTACGAGGTAAGTATATGGAATGGTTTTGCATTTCTATAATACGAAAGTGTGATTCTGTCACAATGGGGAGGCCAATGTTAAAGGTGCACCAAAGATGCAGCCAACCGTAAGCCGCTGTTCCGAAAGCAGACGGTCGTCTGCTATCGGAACGGCGGATTACTGTTGGCTAACGAGCAGTATTGTCACCCCGCCGTCCGCTGAGCTGGATTATGCGCCGCCCTCCTTCAGCGGAAAGTTCCGCTCAGGAAGGGGCGTGTTCCAATCGTAAATCACATTTTTAGTAGAAGAAGGAGGGGAGTGGGAGGGCCCGTCATCCTCTTCCTCAGGAGGCCGCCAGGCCTTGGGCTTTGGCGACGTCTTCGGCCATCTGGATGATCCGGAGTTGGAGATCCGGGTCTGAGCTAAGCAGTGCAGTCTCCCACTGCTCTGGGGTGGTAATGGGAAGGGGAGGTAATGAGCTGGTGTGTTTTTGGGTACTTATCAGGGGGCACACCACATGATGTGGTGAAGATCGGCCCTACCTGAGCATAATTTACAATCTGCTGTATATAACCCGGGATACAGGTGACTGTATGTCACTGGGTTTGGGAATGTGTGCATTTGTAAAAGGTGCCAAGTAACCGATTGCTTTTTACATAACTTTTTGTGAGTGGCGGGGTAATACCCCCTGCTCTGTCCGTTGTGTTGTAGGTTTTCCTTGTAGGACTTCATCCAGTCCCTTACTAAACAATAATTTTTTTTTTGGGGGGGGGGGGGTGGAGGGCCTCAAAATTCTGAGTTTGTAGGATAAATCCGAATTGACCAAAATTTTACCCGCGGGTGTTTTTCGGAGTTTTCCGGATTTATCCTAAAACACGGAACCCTACTTATGGGTCGTCAATAAGAGCACTGTGCAGAAAACTGTGGTTTTCTGTGTCATCCAGGTGCTTCGACTTGTTAAACTCGAGGAGCCCTGTAGCTCACAGCTACAAGCACCCATTCAACACAGCCAACATCGAGGAGAGGAGCCGGACAATGGAGGCGGGTCGGCAAGACCATCATGCAGCTGGAGCTGCCCGACGGCGAACCTGTGGTCCTGGGCGGCAGGGCATGTCTGTGATTGCATTCGCCTTCACACTCAAGAGCGTGGAGAGCCTCGCAAGCCAGCTGCTAAGCAGCGGCACAGTCAGGTTAGTGCAGGAGCAGAGCAGATGCTCTTCTCTATTTGCTTTAGAGTATGTTTTATGTTCTCAAACAAATTGTCTTCCCGCATGTTTCACTTTCTCAGCTACCTGTGCTCCTATCGAACAAGCCAGGACCACCTGGAAACGTTCTTCAGCTGCGTGCGGCAAAGGGGTGGGTGGAATAACAACCCGTCAGCAGCCCAGTTCCGGCATGCCTACAGGAAGCTGCTGGTGCGCGCTGGCGTGCAGGCCCCTGCCTCTGCCAACGTGGCTGCAGACCTTGAGGGTGAAAGCCTGACCATCAGCCAGGAGACGATCGACACCACCGCTGACATTGAAGATGACGAAGATGCTGACCACCTAGCCATAATCTATGAGTTGGGTGAGGCTACCTTGTTCGAGTTCTCCTCAGAAGTGGTTAAATACATTGGAGACTTCGTCAGCCGGCGACTCACCAAAACCCTCAGCGGTCCATCCTGCATCAGCATGCTGCTGGATGACAGCGTGGCGGGATCCTTATCACTCTCAAGAACAACGGGGGGCTCGTGTACCCCTCGGAGCTAGTCCTCCAGCTCCCGCAGGGAACAGAAAAAGTCTTCAGAGCAGTAACTGGGGAGGCAGTATGAACGAGTGTAGCTGTGCTCACAGTGCTCTCCTATAGAGCATTTTATGAGAGGCATGCACACAGTTTTTGTAACGAGGTGCATGTCCACGAGGAGCCAATGCATGCGGTGGCACTTGCCAAGGAAGTGACACGATATGCTGTGTTAAGGCTTCGACACCTTGCACGCAACATCAACCAAAGATGTCGTGGGGCGTATGTGCGTCACATCTTGACCAAGCAAATCTTTTTTCGTCACCAATAACGTACATCGTTAGCTGGGACATGGGAGCACGTGGCACCAGCTATTATAAGAGTACTCCAACGACCCGGCAAGCAACTGCAGCTCATGCACATTGCTTGCATTGAAGTTACACCCCGGTCCGTTAGAGTGCTCCAATAGTACCTGATGCCACACGCTCCCTATAACTGTTATTAAGCTATTATATTATTGGTGATGAAGGATGATGTTTTTTTCTTCACTTCCTTGAAATTCTGAGGTGCTCATAAAAGTGAAATTTTTCTACTGTATTTTTATTTTTACTTTTATTTCGAATCTTCATATGATGTACTTTAAAACTTTTTGTGCTAGTGCAACCTCAGTCACTGCTCTGAAGAATTTTTGCTGTTACCAAATGTTATCAATTTTAGAGAATATAATGAGAGGGAAGTCAAACTTAAATGCCCAGATTTCCAGTAAAGGGGACACACTTGAAAAAGGCAGTCATCCCCAAATGTAGTGTCTGTTCGTATTCCTTCCAGTTTCGGCATGTTATCTTTTACCTGTGAGTGTCTCGTAAGGACAGTCTGCTGACCTTTTTGCCCTATGTATGTCAGTTCGCTCTGAAAAAGTTGTTTTTGTATCCAAGCTGGTCTTTCAGTTTTTGGTTTTTTGTTGTTGTGTGTGAATATTCAGATAATGCAATGTTGGTCAATTTAAGTGATGCGACATGTCTGTATACACTGTAGATGAGCAATTTAGCCGATGCAGTACAACCGCTAGCCTGGGGTCCTTAACGTGCGTCACGCTGTTATGTAACACAGACTTGTGCCGGTACAATGATCATCTAGGACTAAACGGGCATGGGGTGGGGATTGAGCCCGTATTAATGGCCATAGTAGTGGTTGTCACTGCTGAGCTTACACAAACAGCAAGTCTCCGTAGTGATTAGGAGTATGCGTTCCACACCTTCAGGACAGTCGCCCTCGGCAGACTCCAAGGGAGAAGGGAGTGATGGGGTGGGGTGAGGGGGGGGGTTGTTTTGAGCCCGTAAGCAACTGTAAACAAGGCACACCAATGAGCTCCCAGTGAAGTCCAGTGAATACCTCTTATGCACCTCCATTGCAACAGTTGTTAGGTGATGGCCACATAGTTTAGCTATGGTGCCTGGAGTGCGTCTCCGACTGGTGTGTTTACCGCGTCCAAAAAAGTGGTCCCTCGATTTCCGCCTGATGACGTCATAGAAGTGTCATGCTGTCGCCAGTTGCGACCCTGGCGGCGTCCCACCAGCTGTGGTGTATGTAGCAGATGCCTGTTCTGCTGCAGGTCGCTTTCCACTGTGACAGTTCACGGAAGCTAAAGGAGCCGGAGTTGGGACGCCTAAAGGGACGCCGTGACGACAGCGACACTCACGTTCGCTCGAGCTTTTCGCCAGCATTTCTACGGCCAACCGCCAGGATCGCGACAGGCAACAGCATGACACTCGCGTCATTTGTTGCCACATCGGGACCACTTTAGATGTATGGGTGGGATAGGACGCTAAACACACCAGTCAAAGACCCGATCCAGGCACCATAGTTTAGCTGCACACTGTTTGTGAGCAAACCAACAGATTAATTTATGATAATAAAGTTCCAGATGTTTGGGTGTCAAAACTAGTAGCACCAGTGCAAAGCATGATACTCTTAGCTCTCGGTGTTGGTTTAGCTTTCGTTACTGCTATTCTTGCCTTAGGAGTGTATGTGCATACATGGATATTTGCAGTGTATATGTTTGTGTGGATACAATTTCAGACAACACCTGTTCGCTTTGAAACTTCTTTGTGTGTTCAGTAATTATATCATTATACCGTCTTTCCGTTGCTGAGAGCCATAAAAGAGTGTCGAAATCACCAACGGTGTTGTGTGCCAATCATTCTGCAAATGTATGCATGCTACATCACGGCCGGACTGGAAGCGCGCGCTCTCTTTCTCTTCTTACGGCCTTTGCAATTGAGGCAATCGCCACCTCCCGCCGCAATTCGCGGGGGGCGCTGTCACCTCACCCCTGGACTACCCTACCCTTTGTCGTTTGCACAAAGCGCGTCTGACAGTGTATCTCAATGCTGTCGCAACTTGCGGCCGAGATTTTTATAACCTTTGACACCTGATCCTTACGTTTAGACCCTCAGTCACTATCTAATGCGCTTCTGATGAGCCGAAAACGGTGAATATTCGACGCACATCTCCGAGATATTCGGGAGTAAAAAGTAGTAAGTAGAGACAGCGAATGCAATTGCGGAAAGACTATACTCGTCTTTACCTCCAGGACATCTGTTGCAACTCAAGAACAGGAGGAGACACACCCCGTCTACATGGAGGAACTTTAAATGATAATTAATTCGTACACTCTCGTGAAATGTAAGCAGGCCCAATCTATCTATTGCCGTGGTCTCCATCATCATTTCATAGGCCGCACATGAAGTCGGTCAGCATGCTCTGGACGAGGGTGTAGTAGTCTGTACAATTTTCGCACAGTGCATAATACAGCCTAAAGTGCTTCCTCGAGGGCTTGTGCACATACCCAGCTGATTTTTCGTTTATGTCCGTGACCGTATTTGCATGGTTAATCAGAAGTATTCTGAGAAACCGTTGCCAAAACAACAACCAACGAAGCTCGAACACCAGCGCGAAGCAGCTCGAAGGGACTCCGAGTGGGGTGAAGTGGGGTGAGGTGGTTGCGCCCCTGGTGGCAAGCAAGTGGACTGCATACGGAGAAAAAATGCCATTGACTCCCGGGCGATTGCAAAGGCCGTAAGAAGAGAAAGAGAGCGAGACGTTTTGCAGCAGCTATGCATGGGCGCCGCCATAACCGACCTTCAGTTTTTGTTCCCTCTTATTATCTTTATTTCACTTGATCATTACCATAGCAGGAATGGCTTTTTCTCATGTTAGATTTTATTGTATCCTTCGCCCCAGCATTGGCCTCTGTGGAGGCTCGGCAATGCCCTTTTCAGCGGCTCGGTATCTCGGCAAGACAAGAGAAGGTCAGCAATGGCGGCTGTAATTGGCACGTGTGTAAAGCATCTATACATCGATCACTGGAAAACGAGCGTGAACGGCATGTATGCTGAGTACCCAGAGAAGCTTGGTAAAACACCATTCGTTTCACTCATGTGGCATGCAAGACGAAGGTATGGGGAGTAAACTTTCAGTGTAGCTTAGCACGACACCGACGGTAGCAAATATACATATGCCACCTAGTCTATAACTTACCTCAGCTTTCGCTGGACCTGTTCCACTTCCACAATTTTTTCGTTGCTTTCAGACTTTTCACCCAATCCAGTCGGTCTCGTCTTGGACGTGTGTTGACTGTCTCTTGATCATTATCCAGTCGGTCTCGTCTTGGACGTGTATTGACTGTCTCTTAGCCCTTTAGCACCAGAAATAACAAGACATAAATTCCGACGTGCTTTTCTTTCGCAGAGCAGTGGCGATTGTAACGAAGTGTTGACATATTTATTTGTTCAACATTTCTGTATATTTCCAGTTTGGGGCCCCATTGATCCGGCCACAGTCACTTTTAGTTTCGTTTCCGTAATTTGAATGCTATTAAAGCTTGAATAATCCCCAATCACTTTTTAATTGTTCTTTTTGCTTAAATTGATACCTTGTATTGACATATCATACTGTACACCAGAGACCAGGGCCTCAATTTTTGAGAACGTAAACATCACTCAGTAATAAAAAAACAGTAACTGAATAAATTACACTTTTATAATGTGAATAAAGCTACATAGTACCCGTTACGAGTAAAGAAACGTCGCTAATTTCTATGATTCCCTGGCGACGAGAAAAATATCACATACGTTTTTCATAGGAATACACAGGAAGACTGCAAAAGTAGACTGCATGCTGTCTGCTTCAATTTGCCTTCGGAAGTCCCGTAGGCACTAGCGCCAGTCGAGCCTCTAGCGTTTATTGTAATAACTCTATGGGTGTGAACATACTCCAACAACTTCTGGTTAACAATCAAACCCTTTCTACCCCACAGCGCTCGTTATCTACGAAGGGCATTCATAACGTTTCTGTTATTATCATGAAGGAAAAGGGATTCAGCCTTGAAACTTGGGGTAGGAGTATAGTCTTTACATATTTTCCACTTAAAGTCACACACTCTTGCCGGCAATGGACAACCTGCCTGAGGTCTTTGTTATGGAAATCATTTTGAGTCGTCAGGAACGCTTCACTTCAGCAATCACTTGGCCCTCGTCGGCCGCTCCGTTCTTTGTCGTCCAAGCTTGATTGGCCACACTGGAAGCGTCTGCGCCATTTTACCAGAATGTCATAAACTGGGCGTTCACGAACACCGCCACCAGTTCGGAATG